AAGGCTCAAGCGCACATCTATACTTGAAACAAGGGTATGCGCTGTGACACTAAAGGTTTTTTGCACAAGTCAGTAGCACTAACCATACAGAACTATCAGATACGGATGCAGATGCATTAGAACCTCCATGTGCGACCACTTTAGTAAGGGACACTTCACACGTAACTTAGCGAACACCTATTTCATTGCGACTGACCATCTGTCAAAGACCTCACGTTGCTATCTCTCTTGATAATTTTTCATTATTTAAGGTAAGTGGCAGACTGTACAAATAGTGTGCAACAGTGATATAGATGGTTACTTGTCCCGATGCTCTACCACTAAGCATCAGGAGACTTGTGGGAGCTAAGGCCACTAAAATAGGTTCACTTGAGAAACATCCTGCGTACTTTTAGTACTTGGATGTTGACAGGTCCATATACACAATGACAATTATTTCAAATGTTGTGGAAAATAAAGTTTACAGGGTGTTTCAAAAGTTCGTTCCGATTGTAAATTGCATTTTGCGCAAAGCATTTAAGGCTTCTTTCGGTAAATGTAAACTGATTAAGGTAAGAAATTTATCTAAATAACCGTTAAAAGCAATTTCAAACTAAAATTTGAAGAAATTATAACTTTTTTGTAATTTTTGCCCCAACTGTACACGTACGCGAGGTTTTTCCCGCCATACTTTTCCTGCCCATTTTGTAGGTTTTCTATTTTGTATTTTTATCGTTTTCTTTCATTTTCTCTACTCGTTGGTGAAAATGAAGGCCTAAACTGTTTGGGCTAGAACTCAGGCATCTATTTTTATGGCCTTCTGGCCATTCCGTCCAAAAAAATCGTCAAATTGTTGAAGAAGTCTGAACGATGACCGAACAAGTGGTAAAAGTAAAGACCTTAGAAGACAAACCAAGGAGTGCATGGCCGTTTTTTCACAAACTGTGTGAGAAATGTTGTCGAAAAGCTGTAAGTATACGCTTAATAATTCTACAAAACAGAGAGGTAAAAAAAATTTCAACTTCACGTTATCGATCAAAGTTTCGAGCACAACGGTAAGGGGATAAGTTACCAAAAAAGTTTGAGAGCCTTGAAGAGGAAAAGGCGGTGCACGCTTCATGCAAGCATGGTGTCAGAAGGATTTGCCAACTTTATACCAAAGGAGGACCAGCCGGCAAACTCATGTGATGTGAACCTCCTAGAGACCATCTGGATTACCGTAGACGAGACAAAATACAAGGATCCAGCCCCCAAAATACTGGACGAGCTAAGACAGAGACTACGCTTCGCCTGGAAGAATGTGACTTTGGACATGCCTTGGGAGCTCGTACATTCTATACCTCACCGCTTAGAAAATGTCAGAAAACATACAGGAAGACATTCTGGTTACTAATATTTTAGTTATTCAATGTTAAATAAATAATGAATAACATTCTAAGTTTTACAAAAAGTTTTTTTTGTAATAATTAGTGAAATTTAAGGGAATAAAAAATCGGAACGAACTTTTGAAACACCCTATAATTTGTTATTTTCAGCCCCGACGAAACTTTTTCTTTCAATTCAGGTGTGCGTCAAAGGATATTACAAGTCCATGTCAAGATGCACAAAGTGCCCCACTCTACCCTGGTTGATAACACAGATGGCGTTCATTGTCTGCGCCATTTTCCTTCTTATCTTTATTCTTTTCCGTGACGAGAGCAAGACCAAGGGCAAACGACGTACGTTGTCCGATGTAGTGCTGGCGCGCTTAAAAATTGTCGTTGGTTTTTACCAGGTATAGTTTAATTTCTTATCCTTCAGTTTAAAATTATTTTTTTCTTTAAGCTTAACTGGGATTTTTTTTCACCCGAACATTTGCGCGGCCGGGTTGTTCGAGATTGTTCATGTTATCTCTTTCCCTTCTAGACCCAGTTATGGCGAGATCATCTGTCCCTTTAACTCTTAAATCTGTGACGAGTATCCTATAATCGGTTACCATTGAAATGAGACCTTTCTGACTTAATCGATATTTTTTGCACTGGCCAGTATTAGGAGTGAATGAGTCCAAAGGGTCAGTGTGTGCGACTAATCACCTCGATCCCCTAATTGGTACGTTTATTGGACGTTTACACCGTAAAAATCACGTGCATGACTCGTGTAGAGTGGTCAAGGTATTTGCCCAGTGAATAATAACACACGGATGGCTGTCACAGTGCTCCAATTAACCATAGAACGGCTTGGAAACTAAAATTTGATAGCATTTTGTTTTGAATAAGGGTATGGACATGATTTTCAGTTGAACATGCCTAGCGAGCGTAAAAATCGCATCCAGTCTGAGGATTAATGAGAGAGGGAAAATTTTATATATTTAGGCATGAAAAAATTCAAGGGAACATTGGTACTTAGAAATAACATCTCATAGGCATGGAAAAAATGGGTTCATGCCCTCGCAGCCCAAAATTGACCCAGCTAAACTTAGGTCCCAGATCTCTCGCCGGCTTGATAATTCATTCCCAGTTTTTGCTCCTCTGGTTTGGCATGCCGGGCATGCCGATGGTGAAGCCAGTTGGTTTGGCATGCCCAGCATGCCAGGCAAGAAATTGGCATGCCCAGAGAGACTGATTTTGATGTTCGCTTCCGCATCATATCCTGAGAATCACATATAATCGCCAAATATATCTTAGGGAGCTTGAAGTTACAGGTTTCATGCCTGGCAATAAATGCAGATTATAAAAAAAGTCATGTTTGTCACAATGTGTGTCACGGTATCGACTGGCAAAACTGAAGACAGAAGCCTGGATTTATAAATAAAAAGCACAACAAAACAACACTATTCATGCATAAAATAGAATACTTAACTCGCAATCAAAGATTAATCCTTTTATTTCAAACCGATACTGACATTTCTGGGTCCAGATTTAAATTTGATCGCGGAAAAGCGTCTTAAACAATAAGATAACAAATCCTCTCAGTATAAAATTGTCCATGCTTAAGTTTTATCGCGTCGGAATGTTTCCCGGTCAAAAGCATTAAAAGACTGGTGAAAATTAAGCTTACCAGGTCGTTCAAGTCAGTACGAGAGTACGACGTTAATGACTGCAAAGACGTTCTGATTTGGTGAATTTGGACTGCCTTCTCAGAGAGATTTTGCTTAGTTTTTCAGTGCGCTTCCTGTCGGTTATGCGAATCTCGCAAACTGTTTTACTCCTTGCTGACGATAGTCCTTTGAGCAACGTCATCTGCGTCATCCGAAGATACCCCGAGCACGCACGAAATCGGCCGAATTTCCGCAGAAGTGTTTTCGGATGACGATGAATCTAGTTTGTTATAGCGTGGCAGTTGTGGCGTCACGATGTCGTCATGTCTCTTCTCACTTGTTTGTCTTTTTTTTTGTGCGGTGCATGGTTGCGATGTTGGTGAATGCTGGACAAGAAATGGATTCTGCGAGAGACTGTAAGTACAAATTTAGTATTAATTTGGTAAAGAAAAAGCCTGAATATCGAACAAATCCCGTGAATTAGCCTTTTGGCATTCAGTTTATCTTGCTGTTGAGCATGCCTAAGAACTCCGGCATAAGTGGTTGTCAACTCGTTCACTTCGGATTGTTTCTGTTTGTACGTCTTGTAATCTTCTTCTGCTGCTAAGAAGACTAGAGAAAACTTCAAAAATATAGAAACCAAAGCTAAAAAAAGTCAGATCTAATTTTATAGCTCGAGTATAATTATTTTTGGCACCTACGGTCATATTTTTTCACTGTACTGGTAAAGTTACTTATTTTTGCTGCATAGTTTGACTGTTGTTTGTAAGACAATCAAACGGATATTACAATCACTTTTGGAGACAAAATAAAATACCCGTAAATCAAATGCCAAAATCAGATTTGGATTTCGTTTTAAAAAAATGAACATGCTGCAGGTGTCAATGCAAAGTTGTAAACAACTCAATACAAGCAGTCTGTGAATGTGCGTTTAGGTCCACAAAACTAATTTTTCTTTTGGACATCTCATCCAAGCAAAGACTTAAGGCTTACATTGCTTGTCTACGAGTGTACTACAAAATGCTTTGCTACAGTAAGCCTCTGAGAGGCGATTCTGGTAAATTTATAGGACGCTAAAATGCAAATAATTCTAAGCTTAAACAACCTGGCTGGGTCAGACTTTTGAATTACAAAATGTTCACGTTCGCCGGCTCTACTTTAAATGAACATGGTTTTTGAAATGATTTTGTACTATTTTAACCCGAAAATTATGATTGGGTTATAAAGCTTTTAAAACGGACGAAAACTAAGCTAATAAACATGTTCAATGTAAAAACTAAGATTTAGTCGCTTTTTCAACTTTGCTTTGTGGGCCGAAAAATTTACCTTTACGCAAAAACAAAAGCAAACAATGATGCTTTTATTCGACATATTTTCTGAGAATTTTATCTGATCAATTTAATTTCACTAGCATTGTTTTCGTATAGGAATTTTCCTAATTATATGAGCTTTTAATTTGATAATTTTGATACTATATAAACTTCTCATTTGATAGCTTCACTTTTTTATACACCGATTGAGAAACAAATTCGCTCTCGTTAAATCCTATTTTATGACCTATTTATTAGAACTCTAAGTAACATACGAAATGATGTAACCGGACAGGCTTTAACCTCTGGTCCTAATTTATTTTTTCTTTGCAACCCCAAATCAGTTGACGGGCCGTGAGAGAAAATCGTCACAAAAAGATACGAAAACGTTTTCGCTGAGTTTCCTTTACATATTCCGGCTTTATATGGGTGTACACCTTACCTGCTTAAAAATGAAACTGTTGTTCAATTAAGTGTCAGTCAAACTCGGTATAATCTTGACTTGCAAATCCAAATGCAAAGGTTTATTTCACAGTAGAAGAGCGTGTAAACATCATCGAACAACGCAATGTAAATTGGCTAATGTGAAACCACGTTTCTTTCAATTTATTTAGCATGCATTTATCTCAATAGCACACTCTTGTGAAATTAGCCTCAGACAATTAGACCCTGTTTACATGGAGTGGGGGACCCCGGTCTAGTGGGGTAAGTTTCTGTTGTTTTGTGTCCTCCAGAGCGTGAAAACAAAAGAAACCAACCCCACTAGACCGGGGTCCCCCACTCCATGTAAACAGGCCCTTAGTTGCGACCTTGAACAGACTCAACAAGCCAATATGAAAATATGTTAAGGGAAGCTGAGCTCTACATTTTCTATTTCTTTTTTTTTCATATTGCCCTTGCATGTGTTAACATTCCATTTCTTTTTTGTTACAGGTAACTTCCAGACATGAAGAGGAGATAATTACTTTTCTAGAGAGCAATTCTTTGATACTGTCAGTTATTACTGACGTACTTTGAGTTAAAAACAAAGAACACAGACACTGGTAATGACACAAAAACATTAATCCCTGGCAAGCCTACAAAACAAGAAAGAGGAACTCAGACTCCTTATCAAAATGTGAAACAAGATAAAAACAGCTTTTCTAACGTAGGGAAAATTGCGTTAGACAGATTTTAATTGCAACGTTATATTCAAGCACATTGCATTGTCAAACATCATAATTTCAATACTGAATAATGAACAGTGATTTTGGGGCTTAGCTCAGTTTGTAATGAACTTTGAAAGATATTCTTTAACTTTGTATTTTTAAAAGCTTTCATGGAACATAGATGCATTGTATTATACAATGAAAATAGTCTCTGTCTCTATTTTTACTGATTTCAGTCAATTCCATTTTATTGGGAATGTGAAATGGGAATCCTATTAAAGACTCATTAAAAGGGGTAAGGAGTTTTTACAATCCCCCAACAGGTCATCTCCACGATTACGCTGTTTTATTACTACGGCAGAATCCCTCAGGATTTTACTTTCTTGTGAAAATTAGAGCTTTTGTTATTTAAACGTCGCTAGGACAACCAAATCTATGAAAATGAAAGGAATAGCAATGACGTCATCGTGTAACCGTACATCAAAAGATAAGCACTGTGATCTGTTTAGTTTTTTTTTTTTTTTAGCCAGGCTTAAAATATCTGTAGATTCAAGGAATTATAACCTGTGCGTTGAGAGCATGCCAGAGACCGATTTTGTCATGCCCGGCATGACCCAGATTATGACACGCCGGGCATGCCAGAAAATTTGGCATGCCCGGCATGCCAGAGATTTTGCTGGGTATGAATTACTTATTACTAGAACCTAGGCTTCTCGCGGCCTGGGTGAGAAGGTCACGGAACCTCAAATTATGCTTACAGGGCATGCGAAATTCTGTTGCATGCCAATTTCAATGCAAAACCACTCTGGGGCCACCCCCTCTATCATCAGTGAGCAAATCATTGACGATAGGCATGGGAAAAATCCTTGCATGCTAACCAACATTGAAAACGTAGCAGAAATGTCCTCAATTGCTGAGTCATTCCCTAGGGGAGGCTTTAAAATACAGAATTTCCTGACATGAACGAGGGAATTTTCCGTAAACAGCATGTGATCATGCCGGCTAGGGCCTATTGCCTCCGTATTGCCCCTTTTTACAGCTAGCTAGGCTCATTTTTAGGTTCCATGGCCTAAAATGACGAAAAATTCATGCCCTAAATGTAAAAAGTCCAAAAAAGTCCTCGAAATTTTAGTTTCCAAGCCGTTATAGAAAAAAATCCTAAATGTCATCATCATCATCATCATCATCAACAACAACATCACAGTTACTATTATTATTATTATTATTATTATTATTATTACTATTATTGCAATGTTTATAGTCGTTCAAAAGCTCAATAATACTGTTTTTTCTTCTCGTGTCTTCATTTTCAGGTTACAGCTGGGACATTGGACGCCTTCTCCTATGTTCAATGGCCTGAAGCTCTTCTCCAACTCAGCAACTATGCCAAATTCGTTCAGCTGAATCTGGTTCAGATCGCTCCCATCCACTGCTTCAAAGAAAGTCTGAAAATGAACGCCTATGTCGGTCTTGCAGTAACTGTGGCATTGAATGTAGGAGTCATTATACTGGCATTTATGTATTTCCACTTCCGGAAAATCATGATAAGGTATGACCATAGTTGACTCTTGTTCAAACCATAAGAACTCTCCTTGATCAAAAACTGTTTAGAAACCTAACGCGCATGCAATTTGTTTCTTTTATCATGAATTCGCGACGGCAAAGGTAATAACTGAAAATCATGATGATGATGAAAATTACAGGTGTGACAACGTTATGAAGACAGTAGTCATGATGATGACGGGAAATGGTTTTCTGATGATACAATAATTCGCAGGACCATGACAGCAATTTCACCAGTAAAGATAATGTTTTTAAATGGAAATAAATAGACACTGGTACGTGCCTCAAATTAAGGTTTCTCGGAGTAATATTGTTAACGTCCATTTTCTGTTGCTCACCGAGGCTCAACAACGACACGTCGCCTGAGGAGAAGGCTCAAGCAATTTCTTTGAGTAAAGAGCGCTGTTATCGCAGCGCCTTCCTCGTCATGTTTATCACGTTTCCAGAAGTCAGTTCAAGGATTCTTAGAATGCTTCCGCCCGCATGTCACAAAATCTGCCAGGTATGAATAGTAGTAGTTCCAGTCATTTGTCAGTATGTAATCACGCGTTTGTGTCCCCAATTAGTTGTCAAAACTAAATACACTGACGCATTAATAAAGCTTTTACTCACTTAATTTGGGTCCGCAAAAACAGTTGCAGATCCAGGCGGAGGGTCTGGGAGCCTATCAGACCTGACACTTGTTTGAGACAGAAATTCTTACATCGATAGGATCATATATGTATATCACTTTTTATCTGGCTGATTTTTTTAATGAAATGCACGTTGCATTATTCCACTAAACTTAATTCCAGGGATATTAAAAAATGATTACTTTTCTGCAGGCATTAACTAATACACTGTTATTGGACCTCAGGATATAGATATGAAAAACTGTACCTACTACCTCAAGATGGATTACGGCTTAAAGTGCTTCGATAAGGCTTACAACAAATACGTGACTGCAGCCTATGTGGGTTCCATTTACCCAGTGCTCTTTCCTCTGTTTATTGTGGTGATGCTGTATTTCCTCTACTATCGCCCTCACATCAAAAACCGCGCCCTCAATCCACAACCAAAGCGGGCTGAAATTGTAGAAGGCATGCGCTTTATCTATGAGAACTACAACGAGCGCTGCTGGTACTGGGAAATAGTGGAGACGATCAGAAAGTTGATTCTTACTTCCTGCTTATCACTAATCGGCGCTGAAGGACGAACCTACATTGGAATGGCGGCAATGGCTTCTGGGTTTTATGCCGTCGCACATGCACAGGCTCGTCCAATTCCCGACAAGTTTGAGCATTTGTTACAACTGTCATCGCTGGTGGCAACTTTTTTCAATCTGAGTGTGGGAGTCCTGTTACGAATTCCTTCTGAAATGGTCAACTATTCAATCGAAATGGACAAAGATTCTGTTGGAGTTACTGTGCTGCTGGTAACAGCCAATGTCATGGTGATAGGGCTGGTAGTGAGTGAGTACTTAAGGGTATTATATATGTTATTTATATATAGGTACAATTTAAGCAGATTATTGCAACAACTATATACATGTGCCTTTTTTGCTTTTATAGTTTGTCGAACTTATGTTAGCATTTTTAAAGTCCTTTCAGTGTTTTCTTGAAAATTCGTCCAGAACATTAAGGTTAAGATTGAAGACACTTGGTCGTGTTCTAAGGCACATATGAACCCTATTTTACACAACTTGTTTAAGAAGACAAATGAAAGCAATGATTTCCCTACCATCCCACTGCTAGGTATAACTTCGTTTTTACGGCAAACGGCACAGGTAACCATGCGACACAAATGAATCAGGCAACGGAATGCTCTTGAAACAAACAAATTAAACTTGAGGAAATGGCGAAGAGTCCACGGGTATTCGGAGAGAAATGGTAGCAGGATACACCAAATTATTACCCGATGAATGGTATCGGATTGTTAAAGAATAAAAGCAACCGTTCACACTCTAAACTGCCGAAAAAGGGTAAGGAGTTATGCAGATTGAGAAGGGTGTTTCCCTCGATGTACAAACTCGTTAATATAAGTAATCCGAATTCAATAATTCAAACTGAATTAAGTTAAACTGTTAAGAAAGTCCTCAATGTTAGTTTTCTCTTTTCATTTCTCAGTCCGTTATCTCTATACGTTAAGTTGGAGTCTGTACAATGTCTACAAGAACCCACAATGTAACTGGGAGTGCTGTGTCGGTGTTATCCTGTTGGCTCATAACACCAGAGCAAATGTCACTGAGGAGATAGGTGATCAAAGTATGGAAAGGAATCAGGTCCAAGGAGACGATCTTGAGGTTTGTTTCATTTTGTTTGTTAGCCATGATCATGAGCAAGGCCTAATTGAAAGCATTAACACCCGCGGGTTGATAATTTTATGTAACAACCTGCTGCACGCTGCAAAGGACCCAGTAACCAGACGGTGACGTGTAAGAAAATAAAGCCTTACTGTACGTATATGTACTAACAGTGTTAAAATTTTGTTAATAGGTTCGCACTATAGGAGGCTCAGTCAATGACGAGGAATTTACAGAATTAGGGGTGGAAAATGCCGGCGCAGATGACATATTTACAGACGAACTACAAAAAGAAACCGATGAAGTTTATGGGCGTGATATCGTAAGTGCATCACAAACATCTGGGGCACTTAGGAGACCAAGGAGAAGAACACATCATTTCCCCGAGTATGACCCAAAATGCGCTGAAACACACCATGTCAAAAAGGCTGAATCTTCTTTGGAAACCAAAGAAAGCCCCCAACCTTTCAGCGTCTCGCCAGAGACTCCGACACGAGATCCGAGTGTCGATGTTGAGGTGATGATCAAGGAAATCCTTAGAGAGAACATAGTTGAGATTCATGATCCGAACAGGGACAAAAGTAGTAAGAAGAAACCAAGCAACTTAGCGAACGTAGACGCAGATCCTGGGAGGTGTAACCAAGCTGTGGATACCAGCGATGATGAAGAAACTGAATTTTAAGGAACTTAGTCAAACTGCATCGGGGACTGTTCCATTTTAGTTTACCATGTATGCAGATCGTTGTTCGTTGAAAGCTTTAAATAAAAACGGCGGTAAAGACATAGTGTAAAAAAATAAAGCAACGTTTACGGAATAGCGGGGGTTTTGGTTCATTAAAGAAAACAAGTCTGCCAGTTTACAAATGTCAGATTTTACTGATTGACACACAAACATACCCTACGACCCAACTGCGTAAATGAATAGTAGCGCTCATTTGTCGACATTGACATCCCAAAATTTTGGTTATACTTGTATGATGTAGCTGGTGCCACAGACGGAACTAAACTCCGGCCCCAGTTGTCCAAAAGTTGGATAGCGCTATCCACCGGATAAATTGATATCCAATGGATAATTATTATAAAAACCAATCGCGTTATCCGCTGGATAGTGTTTTATCCAGTGGATAGCGCTATCCACCTTTTGAACAACTGGCGCCTGGTGACGTCCGCCTGCGAAACAATGCCATGGCGATATCCCTGGGTGGGGGCCCCCACTTGTTACCCTGCGAGCAGAGGTTTCTCTCTTACATGGCTTTTAGCGTTTACGGCGAACGACTTCGTAAACGCTAAAGGCCTTGAAAGAGAGAAACTTCTGCTCGCATGGTACCCACCTGTGTACCAGGATTTGAGAACACGGCATCATAAGCCTGTTAAAAAGCTAATCAGGGGCATTTTCCAGGCCCAGAACAAAAATAACGGCACTGCTTTTGTAGATGTTACTAACCGTGGTTAGAGTACATCTGCAACGCTGGCTAGTTTTCGTGATATAGGTTGATTTACAATCAAAAACAACAAATGGCTCTCTTATCTTATTACTCAGATTATAGGAGAAGCCAATGAACAAGAGGTTTGATTTCGAGGGTACACTTATTCTCCGTGAGGCACTTGCGAACTTGAGCAAGATCAGAGTTAAGCTTTACAACAAGGTAGTTGCCATCGTAAGAGGAAGCAAAGATTTGAGTATCACTGACATAAATTCACGGAATGGTTCAGGTTAGACTGTCAGAAAAAGCGTTAATGTACAAGTTGAACAAGTGTGGCCCTAAAATAGAGCCTTGAGGGGGATGCATTGCTAGTTCCAGTTTGTCAAGAATGATTTAAACCAATTTAGCGCCAAACCAATTATACGAAATCGTTCATTTATCTTGTTCACTGATATACTATAGTTAATTCGTGCAAACGCTTTCTTATTATCCAAGAATGCACCATTATCCAAATCTGTTAGCCATTCATCACACATTTGGATGAACGCTGTTACTTCCGAGTTATATGGCTGAAGGAAATTGAAACTCTGTTTCAAATGCTTTGTTTACTACTGGTAATAACGAAATTGCCTTCTGTCTCGTAGGCGTTACAGGCGCGCTTAAAGAAACAGATAAACTATAATCGAAAGCGAGGGTGCATGGTACTCGCAAATATTTTAATAATTTTGGCAAACCAAACCAGTGACATTTCTTATTTGTCGAATTCAAATTTGATCGTCAATAACAAGAACTAATAACTGGTCAGGAACAAATGTGACAACAGAAACTATTTATTCTAAGTTCAAAAAGGTGTTACGACGTTACATTCATGAAACCCTACTTCCCCGGGGGCAGATAAACTAGCTTTCAAAATTTATTACTGTATTACAAAACTAATTGTGGCACTTCAATTGAAATTACAAAGATCTTGTTTCATTTGTACGTTAATTGACTATCATAATTACTGTTACTTAGTCATTATGAGATAGAAACCTGCCTCACCACTTTGAAATGCTAAATGTGCTTACGAGCGGATCTGACGCAAGAAAGTCTAGGAACTACAGGGTTATCAAAATAAGGGTTATCAAAACAAGTCTCCTTGATCCTTTAACACAAACAATGGCCACCAGTTTGGTATTATTCTTTAATCGACCTTAACTTACTTCGTTCTAAAAAATACAACGTGAAAAAGGTTGGTGAGGCTGATGTCAATATCAGATGGAGAATATCAGCTGGCCCCCATTTCCGTTGTATGTATAAGCCCAATAAGAGGATAATAGCTTCAATTGAAAATTAACTTACAAAGTGGTTATTAAAATACAACAAACACTTCTAACTTTTACCATTTTTACAGTAGAACCCCGGTAACTCGAACTCTGAAGGGGAACGAAAAACAGTTCGAGTTAGAGGGGAATTCGAGTTATCGGGGTAAATTTCAGTGAAATTGTGATCGAGGAAAATGAAAATTTAGTTCGAGTTAGCGGGGAATTCGAGTTATCCGAGTTCGAGTTATCAAGGTTCTACTGTATAACTTCTAGTAAATCTGGTAAATCGAGACAAGAGAAAGATCGAGCACAAAAATGGTTACAACTAAAATATTACATATATGACGTGTAAAACCTAGGACAAGGCCGTTGGTACAAGTCTTTGGAAGACCCCAACCACATCTCCTCATTCCCCTGACAATGTTGTTTTTACACAATAACTATAGGATTGTCTTTATTACTAAAAACAATAAGCAAAAGAGGGAGGATTGTAGTATTCAAGACATAGTGCTTTACAGTGCAAGCAACCCAACAGGGGCTATACGAACATTAACAGGCGAATGAGAGTTAACGTCCACAAACAAAAACGAGAACATAAAAAAGTAAAATTCCAAGGTATTGGTGGCCCCGCCTGAGTTCTTTGCACAGTACCATAATGGCTCAAGTTGCAGTTACTAAGCCGAACTATTAAAGTGGTTTATCAAAACAAAGTTTAGTTAGTGTTCAAGAGAACTGCTTTCTAACGATATTTACAATTGGCAAACCCTAATATGCTATTAACAGTCTCTACTGAGAAAGCATAGAGAGTTGGCTTAAAAAAAACATAATTTTCCACTTAAAATCACGCAATAAAACTAAAAACATCTCGAGATCATCTGATCGTCTTTTATAGCTGCGATCTAATAAACAGCCCTGTAACTAACAACATAAAAACAGTTACTCCTCTTAACGATTCTTTTGGCTCTACTGCTGCTAGTGACACTAAAACTAGTAAATAACTGTACTTCAGGTGTGGTTATTTCATTGAATAAAACGTATCTAAAACACAAACGTACGCTAAATATCTGGTTTCTAAACAAAAGAACAATGGTTGAAAGAGAAAAAATGCCATAAAACTTATTAAAGAAAGCAAAATGGATTTTTATGACAAAACTGTTTCTCTTCCTTTCCAATTTTTGTATTAATTCAAAAGTTACGAATCAGTTGTTTTTATGCACAAACCCACCCTCAAAGACTTGTTTTTGTTAATGTAGGATTGTCCATTTTCATAAACAAAAACATTCAAGCTTTTCTCATCGAAGGTCATTTAATTACATTTACAAAAATATTCAAGCTTCGGAACTAAAATGGAGGTCCAACCAGGATCACTTCGGCTTCTACAATGGTCGTTCTAGATTAGCAAGTTGGCGCGTTTCGATAATTTGATATTATTTAATAGGCTTTTGCTAAATATAACAACTAAGACAAAAAGGTTTTGCTGAAGGAAGAAAAGACAATGCCCTCTGTGTTCAAGGTGAAGTACGTCACTTTCACCATAACTTCATAAGTACAAAGTACCCCAATTACTTGACAACACGTTTTGGAATTGGCCACTTGAGTCTGGTAAAAGCTTTAAAAGGACTTACTCCCTAAAGTAGGTCGATCAATCATCTTATCATTCTCCCCAAGCAAGACACACGACAAGCTGATACCTTTTAAATAAAACCCTGCCTGCACGGAGTAAAATATTCACCCGTGCAAGATTTTTCACTCAAACAGTAGACATTCCATTGAGTACGAACTGCCAGTACAGGGGATACTAGTAAAAGACGTTACAACTTACAAAGCTAAACGCTATCGTGAAACAGCAAAATTCACTGCCCAACGTTTGGACGTATCCAGTTTGAAACCTTAAGACTACGTAAGTGAACCGAAGAAACAGGGAATATCAGTTAAAACTCGCTATCACATTTTTTTAAGTCAGCAATAAATGGGAAACAATGGGACAAGCGTCAGGTATACTGAGACAGCCTACCTAAAGGCAAGTGAAAAACGCGAACGTCTGCAATATCGGAATTTCGCGTTGGTCAAGGTGCAAGAATGTGTAGTCCAGCCGTGATTAGTCACCCATGTCAACGTCTTCATTCACATCAACATCCTTAGATCTGCCCAATCTTTGAGCTTTCCTTTCAGAACTTTCCACGTCGAAAGCGTTCCTTAGTTTCTTGCATTTGTATACAATTCGAATCACTCGATAGCCTACCAAACCACTGATTTCGAGCGCACGACGGAAAGATGTTTCGCTTCCTTTTATGCCCCAGTAAGGATCATTGCACTTGTTTTCATCGTAAACTTGCAATTCTTCGTCGTGTAAAATCACCTCGTCACTGACGAAGTTCTTTCCTTTCAGAGCATCTCCATTATTCAAAACCACTTGGGACAGCGTTTTAGAGCGCATGTAGTCAGCCTTTGGATACCTGCTCATAAAGTCAGATCCTTTGCTCTTTACATCCGCAAGAGAGACACCCGATATGTGGTTGATGGTGTCTTCGAATAGCACTTTTTTGCATGTAGAAACAAATTCACGCTCATAAGCTTTCAATTTGGCTTCTTTGTCGGGATCACCTTTACAGATCTCCGAAATGTCAGCAAAAGGCAAATGCAAAAGGTCTCGATTTCTTTGCACTTCAGAAAGTGACTTCTCACTATAGAGTATTTTCCGAGCCATCCACCCTGGCTTGCCGTGCTTGGCCCAGTCTTCCCAAACTTCTATACTTCTAAAAATTCGTTCTACTTCATCATGAGAAAGACGTTTTACAGAATTCTCCAAGCAACCTTGGAACACACGTTGTCCAAAGAGAAGGCCAGAGGTAAGTGGACACTTGAGCCACCTGTGATCGTCTTGAACATAGCGAAACATAGTCTGGACATTATCATCTATTGTCCAATACAGTGAGAACTTAAGGCATTCCGCTAAACTTTTGATTACGGACCTGGTTACGCCAATTCCACGTCCTTTTTGAGGCAAAACGACGTAGATCAATTGAACGTCGTGTTCTCTTGGATACCGCAGATCTTTAATAGTAGATTTTAACCTTTCGAGATGATTTGGTTCCACAACAAGAAAAATATTCAACTTTAAAGCATTGCCTTGAGTTGAATCCCCCCTTGCTTCTCCATCTTTCTCGCCACTTTCTTCTTGTAGTGGTGAAGAATTAAGCCAGGGATCTTCGTCAAGAAAATAGTTTCCTTGAATATCAGGCCCAGGCCGTGTTATCGGAATAAATATCGGTGCCACATGCTGTGTAGGATCTTGAAATTGTGCACACATGGCATTGAGCATGTTCTGCATACTCGAAGAGACCAATGCTTCAAGACATTTTTGGGGGGCGTCGATCTTCAAATGAATTACATCCTCATGATCAGGATGTAACTGTTCGTCACCAGTTTTAACAATATGACAGAATATAGATGACTTCTGGTGAGCGAACAGAATTTCCCGTGCAACATTCAAAAGTGCCTCGTGTGCTGTAGGATCAAGGGTTATTTCGGGGGGTAATGGAATATCGAAATGTTCCTTGTCGCTAAGAACATGAACAAGACCCAATGTCCACAATCTCTGATCCACATTCTGGGGTTGTTGACCTTTCAAAGAGCCAAGTTTAAGCTTCAACTTCGTTTCCATTTCACTAATGATATCTTTCTTCTTCTTCTTCTTTTGGTCAGGATTAAGCAGGAGTCTTGTCAGTTCACTGATTATTTTGTCAGGACTAGACTGTGATGGTATTTCTTTGTCTTTGTCTTTGGCAATTGTCATTTTCTCGGGCAGTGATGGTAGAGCACGAACATCTAATTTTGGGTGCGGGTTAATCTTTCGAATAGTATCATTGCAGAACTCTATTACCTTCGGCAACTTGTCTTTCAACGAATTTAAAAATACTGTCTTGCAAGCATCTTCAAATGAACTTGCAGGGACCAGTTTCACAACTAATTCCTCAAGCGTCTTCATCAACTGAAAATAGGGCGGTCTACTTGCTTGCTTCGGCTTACGAAGTCTGTCATCCTCAAGTGACTTTGCAGCCTTTTTCAGAAGAAGATGCAAATATCTTTCCACTAAGTCACTCTTGCTTTCGACGCAAGCATCTGGTTTCCAATCCAACGTATCATCCTTCTGTAATGAGATCTGCTTCTGCCTCTTTTTCAAAAAACCAAGCAAGTACGTGGGTGCGACGTTCGCACAAAAGTGCTCTACTCTAGCGATGCACGCTATTTCAGTCAACTCCAAGATATCTTTTGGGGCATCTTCAGGTGAACCTAAGTTTGAATTATGAAAAGCTTTATTCTTCAGTCTGGAAGCATAGCTTTCCAGTGATCTTTTCAGAACTTTCGCGAGAAATTGACGCGTTTTTAAGGAGAGCAGGAATTTGCTGTAAAGAAATTCATGCAAGCTTTTGATATCCGATTCTACTGGAAGTGCTTTATTCATAAAGGACATGATGAGTTCACTCTCTTCATCTTCATAGACTCTAGAGAGCATTTCAAAAAATACTTGTCCTTCATCGATTCCGACAATATTCCCTTTCTTTGTCGTCGTATCCACTCGCTTTCTGAGGATTTTGGCAGCCCAGTGAACACTCTGTAAGAATGGGTGGATCGTTTGCTTGATCTTTACATCTCGGACGTGATTATGCACTACGCTCTTCAACGACGTCAGAAAATCGGCACTTTCTGCATGAAAATAGATACATTCACTTTCCTTGGACAATTTGTCTAAGAAGTCTTCGCTATTCAGTTTCGGAAGCGGTACTCTCGCCTCTTGGTATAAAATGCCATCCTCTTCCCTAACACTTGAAATAAAGCTAGACCATGCTTTGTCGAGATTTTTCTTCTTCTCTTTGCACAGGTCATCAAACTCATTAAGCGGTGGCGGACACGGATTTCTGTCATTAAATATGTGGACAATTTTTGGTCGGGAGACAAATTCAAACTTTTTATCTCGTCTTCGAAAAACTTGTGCAATATCTTCTGCTGAAACAGGTCTCCCGGACTGACCACTGCCGAAGAAAAGAATAACGTCCGCCTTGCTTAGAGCGCCGCTAATAGCTTTATTACCGGTGTCATCACCAAGGCCAGGTACATCTACAAATTCGACATCAACGTCCAACTCAAGATGGAGCTCTTCTCCAGTCAATGCCCTTGTCTTCATTTCAGTGAATACTCGAAATGGGCCCTGAAGCACCACTTAACCTGTGCTATCTAAGCTTTCTTTGTCTTGAAACCTCTTTAGAATGGTGCTATTGACGCGAGCTAAGCTGTCTTTAGCCATTTTTTCTTCAGGAAACCATTCAACAGGATTAGGATCTGCTTCCTGCTTATAAAATAAAACCTGGACGTTTGAAGCAAATTTAACATAAATTGGCAGGGGTGTTTGGCTGTCTTCGGGTGCGGAAGGAAGGGGCCCATCTTTCATTTTTACCTCATCTTTTAAACCCAAATTTAGGAGGGTGTTGAGAAAAAAGCTTTTACCAACCCCAAGTGGCCCTAAAACAGCAAGGGTGATGCAAACCTTAGACTCTGTTACAAGAGTACTTTGCAAGTCGTCAATACTTTCTCTGATTACCATCTTCATTTTATTTGTTCCGGCCTGGTTGTCATAGAGCTCATACCAAGCTCCCTCAAGAACGTCAGAACAAAGACTACTTTTCTCCCACAGACTTAGCTTTTCAGGAATGATTGTGAATTGCTGAACTCTTCTCTTCACATAACTTTCTAGATCTACAACAAAAAAGGTAGAAAAAGTATTAGAATTTGCAGCAATCATTGGATTGTTTGATGAAATTAAGTTCAGAAAGGGAGGATACAAAAATAATCCAAGCTTATGAGTGAACTCAAGGATGACCTAATGAGTTTGGCTTTCTCTTTTAGATAATTAAAATTATCTAGTACAGTCAATCCTGTGTAACACGTTCTCCCTTGGGAAAAGGCAAGATGACCGCTATATACAGGGCCGTTATATGCAGGATTGACAATACATTCTCGTAGCTCTTCAGCATTTAAAAGCTACGAAGACGTACGTCACTTTCAACAGGGTCGGCTTTTTGTTCGCCAGGTTACCATTCGACGTTATGATAGATATTTGAATCATGAAACTATTTAGGAACTATTGAAGGCCGTTCTTGTTTGAACCTTGTGTGTTCTTGCTTCATAGCAAGGAGGTTCCTTTTTCTCTCTTTGTAGTAACTGCACTTGTATACCGAAAGTGGAAAACGAAAACGAATCCTGTTTGCAGTATTTAAAAAATACCAAAAGGTGTCCTAAAAAGAACCTACCCACCTACAGTTTTCGTGATGTAAGACGCAATGTCACTTGCTTTTTGACTTGTCATGTCATCAAAACTGGAAAGTGGGAACAAATATTGCGGCCGCTTCACTATCGACCCAAGCTCTCGAAAATCAGTCTCTTTGCCAACGGGCACGAGGATGACTTTGATATTTTTGGAGGATAGTTCTTCAGTTGCTGATACAAGATCTTGGTCATCCTCTTTGCTTTCCTCACCAGAAACTTGCCTACCAGCTGTTACTAAAATGACTAGATGTTCATCGGCACTCGGAGTGAAACAGCCAGCTGCTTTTGTAAGTGCCAAGTCCATTCGTCTCCCTTTACTTTGACACCATGCTTTGTTTCTTAAACCCTTAACTTCATCAGAAAATGTCCCAGGGACAGCATTAAAAGAGACAATTTCAGAACCGTTCCCATACACAACGGCCTCGATGTCATTTTCTCGATTAAAAGAGGTGTTCACGTGTCTAACAAAGTCAATTTCCTTTTCAAAATCTTCTTCATACACACTCCACGAATAGTCCAGAGCAAAGACAATTTGACAATCAAATGTGCCATCTAAAGCTGCGAAAAGAAGAAATAAATCTGTCAAATCCTTGATAATCCATGTCAGCTGTGCCTAAATGTTAGTTTGGACAAGCTGGTGAAAGTGCATCTTCCAAAACTACAAAACTATTATGCTCCTAAAGACGACAATACAAATAACACCAATATGTTCAAAACACAAGTAACAGCATCAATTGACCTTATGTCCAGAGATCATAATAGGACGAATAATAGGACTATTATGACTCTTGCTTATGTATACTCTTTTTTCACTAACTTTTAAATGGCAATCAAAAGTGAATAAAAATAGAACTAAACTATATCTACAAGATCACTTATTTCTCAGCGTGTAAGCTTATAGCATAGAGAGGAAAAACAAAACTGATTTAAATATGTTTTGTTTTATTATTAAAATCAAGTTGTGACGATTGAAATTAGGGAATAATTTAATGCGCGTTTTGTCCAAAAAATTATTAGGATTTGGACAAAACGCAAGTGAAATAATTTCCTAATTTCACGAGTATACCATCTGAGTAGCTATTAATACCATGGGTGAAGAATTCTGCACAAGTCAGTGTAAATTCCCCCTCCCTTAACCCCAGGACTATGCGGGGATTAGGTACAAATATTGTGCCGCTGTAGAGGGGGCATTAGCCTTATTTGGAATCGTGTGGTACTTTAGGCGGGTATTTGGCCGGGATTAGACTTGAAAACAGCTGACCGTTTTCGCCTCCGCAGTAATTCCAGTTCGCGGTAATTTATTTCTTTTTGGCTATTTTTCGTCGGAGATATTAGCATTATATTGCTATCCTTCAATTCGAGAATAAATAAAGATTGTTGTTGATGTTGTTGTTGTTGTTGCACGAAATGAAAGCTCATTCGCCCGCCACATTCTTTCATGTTTTTTAATGAAGACGTATCATTTAATATTTATTTCCCCCAAAAAATGTAAACTAAACAAGCAGTGCAAAGGGAAGGGGGGGGGAATGCACGAGGGTGCAACTTTCATCTCCCCTGTAGTGGATTAGCTGATGTGCCCTCAGACTGGCTGTGTTGATGACTGTGAAGGTAAGAAGCGAGTTAAAAACTAAAGCACATCACAAAAGGTCACAGTTTTGTATTTTTTTTCTTAAAACGGCATCCACATTTGAGTTTATGTAGCTGGATAGTATTGTGTACCAGAAGTTCCTCGAGATTACATTTTTTTTATACATACAAATTATAAAATTAGTTTTGGGGTCTCTAGTAATAAACAACGACTTTCCTCTTGTCTACAGCATCTACATCAGGGGAGGGGAAAAAAGAAAAGAAAAAGAAAAACATAGACAAGGAACAAGAAAACATTTTTGAATAAAGTTTTCACTAGTATGTTTGTGAGTAGATTTAATTTTATATATTTTTAATATGATCCAGAAAAGGGCGGGGGATTAGATAGCCTAAAATGTCCCCGCATTTGCTCCCATTAGGGGGACGGGGGTACATTGACTGGTGCAAAAATACCTGTAAGAATCCTTCTTGATGTGCTCTTTCGTGTGTTTAAGTTTTCTAAAGCGTCTTTTAATGCCCTGAAATAACATTTTTAAACTTCGTCGCCATCTTGCACTGAGACGTACGGATGGTTGCAATTTTGCAATTTCACAAGTGAAATTACACATTAGAGAGTTTTACATCCGAGTTTACCGCGAACCTCCAACCGCTGGCGGTCACGTGACAAGTCTTTCGCGTCACGTTTGAGGTTTACGACGTGCGTTTTCAACGTGGGGAGGTAGGTTTTCACGTATGTCATTTACCTGAAAGCTTTTAGCGTATAATTCTTGTTCTATCCCACGTAATGATACAAAAATCTTGTGGAGCAAGTCTTTATCCATTAACAGAGGCACAAATTCGAGCGAAATAGCTAAATTTGATAAATCCTATTGGATCTTGAAAACAAGTGCCACTCATGGCTGCTGATTCAAAATGGCGGCCGTAAATTAGCAAGAAGAACTAATGTAAGAATTTACAGCTCTTTGCTGCTAGATGACCCAGTGTGACCGCAAATTTCTTTTATTTTCACTGATTTATATTTCTTCTATTTCTAAATGGAAAAATAAACCTAGAATGGCTTCTTTAATCCACCACCAATCTAAATTGAATAATGTTTGAACGTCGAACCGCAAACGGGTAACCGCACACCGCGGTTAGAGGTTCGCGATAAACTCGGATCTAAAACTCTCTATTAACGCTGAAATCTCGCGCCAAACTTAAAGAGTATTTCGTCACCCATGACATTAAAATAATCGACTAAAAAAAAAGTGGCTCACGAAATTGTATTCACTCGTTACAACCCCTTGAAAACTTAACCGTTTGATACGCCAACTCATTCATTTTCTGAGGTTTTGCAACTCATGAAGAAAATCCTTATCAAACAATCTCTATGAAATAATATATATTTCTGGTAGAAGCACAATTCGAAATGAGACTTCAACCAGTCCATCTTAAGCCAGTACAGCCACGAAATGCTGCAAATCGTAAAAAGCTAAACTTAGAACGCAGTTCTATTTTTTCACTTTATCGGGGCACCTTAAGGGTTCTTCAAAATATATAAATAAGCCTGTTATCGCTATTTGGCTCATGATTATTTAACTTAAATTTTGCGTATGTATATTACCTTTACCCCTTTCTTTACGAGGTGATCGTATTGTTGCTTGCCTCCCTTTTTCTCCAGTTGCAGAATCTTCCTCTTTTCTGGAGCTTAAAGGAGATTTTCCAAGTTTTGTAGATTGCTTACTCGAAAGAATTGAGTGTTTCCCTTGATCTTGTGATTCAGTACTTCCGCTATTGCCTTGATCTTCAGTGGTGTCTGGTTTCCTGCGTTTGCAGAATGGCTCAGTAATATCATACTCAACGTCTGTATCGCCAGCATCTTTTAAAAAAAAAGCAAGCAAATATTATCTATAACCGCCAATAGAGCCTAGCATGATTTAAGTTGAAAAAGGCTTCATGCATTGGCGAGCAGCCGACAGTACACCACAACAACTTGTCAATTTCAAGTAACTAAAAATTTCTCCGACAATCAGAACCTGCGGTATCATGTAAACATATATTTCAATACTGAAGAAAAATAACTTGATTTAAGTTTAAAATTTTCTAGAAATTTATACTTGAACAAGTTTTTTGACATGTCAATTGTAAACAGTCTCGCCAGGTCAAGCATACCCCTATAAGCTGTACATATTCAGTGGAAACCGTTGCTGAAAAGCTGAGTACACCGAGAAATATTTACAAGATGGACCCTGATAAGTACGTAAGTCTCCTAAGTGACAACAATACGGCGCTGAATCCAAATAAGCTGGACAAGATGGACCGTATATCACCGCCGGAACCAGGAACATTTGGAAATCGGGTAACTGACAATGCAAGGATGGTTACTACAATTTCCGGGATAGTCGAAGCTGAATAGATATTTCAAACCGATCAACGCAAGAAATAACAGTGAGCAGCGTGGCACAAACGTGTGTATACAAACCTTGCATCGGTTCTAACGTACTTGTGACTCCACTGATGAAGGGCCAGGCCCGAAACCGTTGGAACACAACTCCACAAAAACACGGCACTTTTGTTTACATTTCACTTTTCAATTAACTGAATATGTCCTTGAATAACTAAATATATTTCACCGACGTCGGTTACGAGTGGGGTGACACAGGTTTCCTCTATCTACTGTTTAGGTAAGAAACCCTGTTGCGACGATGGCAAATGGTCTTTTATAAAAAGGTTCTCCTCATCCCCCTCTTCATCGTTCGTCACGACTTCACCTGCACGTCTTGCACGAAAATGTTCAGGTTCTGTCTTAGGTACTTTAAGCTACATTTTCTCGGAAGACGACAAACCAAGGGGCTAGCAATATTACCAGAATTACTATCAGCAAAGTCAAACCTCCGAGGTCTTTTCAGTAATTACCCAGCAAACCTAGCAGCTCTGTACATGTACAGAGGGAGGGGGGCGGGGGGTGGGGGTCAACCGTGCTCTACTAATACATGATTTGATTGAAGGTCAAGCTGAAGGCCCTCGTTCGAGGAATTCTTCGAGGGACCGTCACCTTCTTAAATAGAATAAGTACCCGACAGTCGGGAAATCAATTAAAGTCAATTATGTTTAGTCTCTGTAGATAAACTTGTGCAATTAACCGATGATAGAATTCAATTTCCGGCTGAGGCATCTTTAAGGTCGGATTTGGGTATCCAAAAGACGTATGTTACATTAAACGAGGTGGAATTACTTGTATGTATGAATGTTAGCAGAAACAAGCAATAGAACGTAACTTAAAAGTAGTAAAATGTCCTCACAAATACTTGGGAGATTTTCTTGATCTGTCGGTCCCTGTACTTTCAAAACGGGTGCTAAAATAGCCCCTCGAAATGAATTTAACTTGTCAAGTTCAAACATAAGTACCCAATTTCTACGTTTCTTTTGCTATTGAAGTCTATAATGATATTCTGTTAAATATGGATAACCAGAGGGTTACACTCCTAGTACATACATACATACATCCATATTTACATCCAAAAATCTCAAATGAAGCTGGCTTTGGGCACAAAAGTTGTAAGTTTACTGACTTGTATTTCGGCCTTTTCCTTACAAACCTTTAAACACTGAAGTCATTGTAAGCTTGTATTTTGATTCTAGAAAACCTAACCCGTCATGAGTAAACAGGGGTCTTTTTTGCATGAGCATGCGCGACCGCTGAAGGCTCACCACAGGGTTCACCCGCCTTCATCAAAATGGCGCGTCTCAAAGCTATTATAGCGATTATTTTGCTCGTTGGTCTTGGCGAATGTGCTCGTGATTTAACAAAATGTGTAGTTTGCAAAAAAAACTCTAACATGGTCTTAACAAAAGCGAAGTAGACCGGCTTTAACATATACGAGCTACTGTCAAATTTCATCTCCCCACTTGACCTGGACAATAGGGCGCGTATATGTAGTGCCTGGAGGATTGCGCTGACCTCATCAAAGTCCAAACAAAGTGCAGAAACGTTTGTTTGTTTTGAAATGGGAAAGGAAGAGAAATATTAAAAAAAACATAGCAAATTTCAGCGAGTGGGTTCGAAGTGCGCGAAAGCCGATGTTCAGTTCAGCAGTGAATTAATATATGTTCTACAATTTTCCCAGCACTTTAAAGCTACAAAATTAAGAGCACACGAGACGTAGATTAGTTACCTGGTGAGATGTTGGTGGTAGTCACTCTGTATGTCTCGAACAATAAAAAAAAAATGAATATCAGTGAGACACAGTCAAAACTGCATTCAATAGGACCGAAATTAAAGTCCAATCTTGTGACCGATTTTGATGAAACAAACGGTTAGGTTTCCCAAGAAGTACAGTAAACATGTGATGCCGACCAAAAGTTAAAAATCATTAGAACATTTAAGTTCTGGCTAAAAGCAGATTCCTGTAAAAGATGCGTTACAATGTTAGTCCACGCAAAAACAAGAAGTTCTACAATTTTCCTATAAACTTTGTATCGCTAAAATACTTAAGGCAAAAACTTTCTATTCCAACTGAAAACGGCGTGGTAGTCGCCCGCTGATCGTTATTAATCCACTCCCGAAATATGGCTAAATCAGCTATTAACAAATTATTGACAGAAATCCTCTACGGCATCGAGAAACTGATTTACATCCGATTTATAGACAAACACTAAATAAAGAACATTTTGCTCAATAGCTACGCATCAGCAATGCATTCTATGCCAAACTTTGCGGTTCTTAAAGGGGAATCAAGACACGAGTCGAGCGCCAAACAACAACAAGCAGCCATGTTCGTGTCAGACATCCTTGAGAAACTTGCTCTTTCACCTCGTTCAGCGCATCAGTCTCCACTTTAAATCAACAGATCTTTACTTATTTCCTCGGTACAATGAAGGTCTTTCCTAAGTTCCTGCTACCATTTCAATCTCAAGCAAGCTTTCAAAGTGAACAATTTGGTTCCTATGACTATGCAGCACGGTCGCTGTCACTGGTCGCGTGCTCTTTGACAAGTCAGCGGTCGCGCATGCTCATGCAAAAAAGACCCCTGTTGTCATGAGTAGGATATTCGAACTCATTTGGACCTTTTTCATTGTGATTTTGTTTGAATTTGACTTTGTTGACTCGGCTCTGGGTCTATTTGTCTTTTGAATCCTGGAATGTTTATGGAATAACGATACAGTTTAACATACGGGGAGTTCGAGTTTTTCGACTTTGGACCGCAACATATATTTTGGGGTTGCCTCAAGGCTAGGCAATAAATTACCGAACCGCCACCCGGTTAGCCCAATTGGATCATGATAAGAGCTGGTCTGCCGAGCAGGAGGCCCCAGGTTCAAACTCCGACGGGAACAACAATCCCATAACCCGGCTGAGGAGAAAATGCTGCTTTAGTTATGACTTCCGCCAACGGTTAGGCTTCTCAGTATTCTCTAATAATAACGAAGAAATGTCATCCTCGGAGACCCAGGGGTATATAGTGGGGGCAAGGGAAAGTCTAAGCGGGCGGAAAAAATGGCGAGAAGAAAAGTAAGGAGTCCCTGGGGACAATAGGGCCATTTATACGAGGAAAAATAAGACGCGTCTTAAATAAGACGCGAACTTTCCGTATAAACGGCACATTCGTTTAAAATAAGACGCGGCTTAGCTAAGGTGGGTCTTATTAGATAAGACATGCTCGTATAAATGGTACAGTTCGCTTCTTATTTAAGACGCGTCTTATGTAAGACGCGTCTTATTTTTCCTCGTATAAATGGCCCTAATGTCTTACCATACCAGTTCCAAACGGTCGCGGCCGTTCTGGCTTCTGATTGGTGCCAGAAAACGTTTGTGTTTTTCTGCCCAGTCAGAGCGCAGCAGACCTTAGAGTTGTTTCGTGTGTTCTTATACGCAAAGTACATGAATTTCAGCTATTCACCATGTTTATCTTGGCTGTTCTCGGAGGTTTTATGCACGAGGTGAAAGATTCCATATCAGAACAAAATGCAAGGGAAAACGTTCGGAATATCTGCGATTATTTCACCACTAAATAAGGCTGGACCTTTCGCAGGTATCATAACAGAAGCCTATTTGAAAGTTTGCGAAAATATATATTTACAGATTTCTCAGGAGTATTAAAAAAAAAGGATTGAAACCCGAGAAAATACATTGTTCGTATAAAAGAACCGATTGGTCTGCTCTGTGGAAGTCCAGAATCATTTGTTGGGAAGAAAAAATCCAGAAGAGATTGTTTTGAAACAGTTTTTACGGACAAAATGTTCCTGCAGTGGTTTATTATGAATTGTTTATGCACTGTAGTGTACAGCATATTTTTAGCTCCGCATGATTCATACTCATGCCGATGATCGGCGAAAGCTTGGTTTGTAATTTTATGTAATATATCAAACATGAGACGCAGTGTTTCATCACCACACCGAGAAGAGAGTTGGAAATATGACGCGCAGCGGAGTATGTTTCAGAATTTCGAGGTGTTTCATCTGGTGATGAAACACTGTGTCGAATGCTTAATATTTTTTCTCAAACAAACTGATTTTATGAGGGGAAATTAAGGTTGCAAAAATGAGAAGTTTTTCATCTGATTTCCAAACACTCATTAAACATTATTTTCCTTTGTATTTTCTTTATGAATTATTAACGAGTTTGAGAATTTTTAATCAGCAGTTTAAGGCGTCGTTAGAACAATACTTTTTCCTTTGTTTTAAATTCATTACCATACCCAAAAACATTAAAAATTAACTGAAACAGAAAATTAACTACAACATATACACCAAACCAGGGGGAAAAGATTCCAAACAGAGCTGATTTACTAGATCAAAACAGCAAAAAAGATTAAACGAGTCCGATAGTACTATTTGTACTTGCCCATACTTTAATGGCTGGATGAAAGCAGAGGGATGTTTACAAGTATACATACGTTGATGTTTAATTTTACCCTTGGTTTAAATTTTATTTTCTTTTGTTTTTGGGCATGGTAATGTCTGATAATGAGCTTAAAACAAAAGAAAAGAAAATTTAAACCAAGGATAAAATTGAATTGATCAAAATGTTAAACGCTAAAAGATTTTTAAATACATTTAAAAAACATTTAAAAAAGTGGACGACGTTTCGACGCTACGTTACACCATTATCAAGTTGAAAAGTGAAAAATTATAAGGTGTAAAGCTAATATATAAAATTTGAAACAATACATAAAATATTTGCGGGTATAATTCCCAAGGTAAGAAACACAATAAGAGAAAAAAAAAATGTACGAACGTGTCACGTAACTAGTTTGGCGCGAATGGAGTCGGCTTGCGCGTTAAGAGAAGGCTTGATGTCCTTTTAGTCCAGGCATTTTGTCGTCGGACCTGTAACTAATTGCAAAAGAAGCTTTCTCATCATTGACCAGTTAGAAATATCCCATACATGAACATACTAAAAGTCCCTAAAGATCCAAGCATGGGAACACCCGCAAACAGGACTCTTAACATGAGTCCCTTTTTCCCATAACATGAAAACGAGGCTGTCAACCGGACGTTGCTGTTCAGCTTTTGTTATAGATATAAATCGAGCTATTTCGCCAAAACTAAGAATATATCCTTAACAAAAGTTATTTTAAGGCTTTAATTGTGAAAGAAGTTCCCAAAAATGTATCATTTGAATAAGTAAGATATTAAGGATTTTTAGAATCTATGTACTCCCCAGCAGTGAGATCTGATTTTGCTGAAACATTACGAGACAAAATTGCTTAAGACTCGCGAAAAAAAAGTCCTATATAATCACCAGAAAACCCCTCTTTAATTCAATTCTACATGCGCCTTATACACAATTAATTTCAAAATACGCGAGTCTTCCGAATCTTAACTTTCGTAGTCTACAGTGTTCGAAAAATTTGTGCACGAAGACCCTTTGCAGGCTGGGGAACACTGTATGTTAATTAACAAATTAGTGTTAAGTAAGTCGTTTTATTGTTCTTCTGTCTGGTCCAATGCAGCGGACACTGACCTTCTTAAGCTCCAAGCGGTCCAGAACTTTGCAGCCCGGATTATCTGTGTTTCCAGAAAATTTGACCACGTTTTAATACTCCCTGAAAGAACTGCATTGGCTACCTATTATATCTCCGTGACTTCGTGCTTGCTTTTAAGTATAAAAAGAAACTCATAAGGGGTTGAATCAACCCCTTATGAGTTTCTGGTATAACTGGCTCCGCTCCTACTTACCTCTCGTCGACGTTTCTAACATGTGGTGAAGTAAGTGGTCGCACGAACAAAAGCTCCCAACTTCTGCATATACCCTTATTTTAAAAAATCGTAAATCTGGACAAAGGACATTCTTTTAACGTATAGTAAATCTGTGGAACAATTTAGATAATTTCCTCAAACTCTGTAACTCTGCTCGTAATTTAAAGCGTAAACTTAAAGCCGAATTATTTGCTACTTTCCTATCTTATCGGTCTTAGTTTGTATCATATCTACTTTATTGTATTTTTTAAAGTTTCTGTTGCAGTTGTAATTCTAGTGACTATTTATTTACTTTTTAGCTTTCTTAACTTTTTCTATAAAACATTTTATTGTTATTTTGTAAGTTTTTGATTTACCGTACTCTCGTTTCAACATCAGTGATTATCATTGTCACTGAAAAGCCCTCTCTTTAGGGAGTGTCAATTAAAGTTTGTATTGTATTATATTGTATCTACCCGCGTAATTTGAGACTGGTTGAGTCACAAGAAAAACTTTCTTTTCGGTATAGGTAGGATACCTTCAATTCCGTAATTTTCTTTTTAAAATCGAAACGCGAATGTGTGTTTTGGAATTCAGCTTGAACTGGAACTTTGGCATTGCATGGCGCGCGCTTTATTTATTACTTCATAAGTCAGTGAAAACATTTCCTTCGGCTTTAGCGAAAATGGTCGCCGATTTCATAAAACGTGATACGATTCCTAGTCATTTTTCTCAAAATTGTGAAGAAACAAAATAAATGAATTTACTAATAAACTAAGTTTTGTGACACCCGAAAAAAGTAAGCGCGAAGCTACGAGTGAAGTACAGGTTTTTTCACCGAGGTGAATGATCAGTTCATTTTGGAAGTCTCTACTCAAGACACTCAAGTCAAATATTCTTTTCTTGAATTATATTAGCTTAGAACTCTATATTACTTTTACTTTCAGTTTAAAATTATCCTTTTTAAGTTCTAAACTCGCTTGCGGAAGATATAATTCCTCGCTAAATACCTCACCTAGATAGCTAACAATCGTGGATATTTTCTACAGGTTTTACGTGTTTTTTTCTGATTTAAGAATCTCATACAGAACAGTTGTTTTATTTAATCGTTACACAAATGCACTTACTTAGGAAGAAAACACGATAAATTCTCCCCGTCTTTACTAGTCCATGCTGTACGGGGTTTCAAACTCGAGCAACACAACAGGCAGTACATACAACCTCGTTTTCATGCAGCGCAGTATTAGTCTATATAGGGCTCTAAAAAACACTCGTTTTTCGTCAACTTCCCCTACTCGGATTTTCGGGGACTTTTGATATGTTATAGAGGACATGTTCCTAGACCAAAAACCGTTAAAAAACCTTCTTTTGCAATTAGTGGCAGGTTGACCGACTTTTTGCGATAAAATGCCTGGACTATTTATGTATAACATCTCGTAGACTAAGCAATCAAACTTTTTCTCTTATTGTGTTTCTTACCTTGGGAATTATACCCATAAATAATTAAGTCAGTAAGTAGCAAAACAAATTACAATAAAAATAAAAAGTATTGAAAGATAAAAAACCCGCCAGTTGCCACACATATTTAATATTGTTTACCACAATTTTCAATGCGATATTGTGAAAAAAGCTTATGTAAAAATTCATCTAAATTAGGTTTCGTTACAATGTTCTTGCAAGTATACAAGTATTTCTTTTGCAGTAAAACCAATAGACGAAGTTTGCTTTGAGTTGAATTTGGCATTTGCATTGGAAGGGAGTCATCGCAAGTTGTACGTTCTCTTTATGATATTCATCTTGACTATAGTATACTCTATTTTTTGGAAATGGATCCGATAATTTTTGCAGCATAAACATTCAAATGTTCGGCAGCTGTCAATAAATACTTAGTTATAATTTTAGGTAGAGTGGATCAGCCCACTCGGTAAGATGATGTAAGTTTACTCGACCGGAGTTTTTACCTTTTGGCACGGAAAGAAAGTCGTCAAGGTACGTGTCTGGCTGCCGATCGCTCGACATACCTACATTTCCCTTGCCCCCACTATATGCCCCTGGGTCTCCGAGGATGAAGAACCGTAGGCCCCGTCTCACAACCCCTACCCGTTTAAAAAAAATTCAGTTGTGGGTCGTTAAAGAACCAAGACACTATCCGAGCAAAGGACGTGGTTCCCTGTCTGTGTAGCTATAGTGGTTTATCTCTAATTTACATTTAAATTAGGGTGATTTCATAAGTCATTACGTCATTAACTGTAAACAGTGCTTCAAACAGTGTGGCAAAAGTTTCCCAACCAGTATTTCAATTAATAATAATAATAAGCTGATGCACAAAAAGAACACCAGCAAAGACTGTGACAGAAAAGGCAATAATAATAATAAAAATTTTTGACCAGGAGACTCTCACCAGGGTGATTTTCAGAGGAGTCAAGAATTATCCCTGAGTAGCCCTGAGGGGAGGGGATAATGAGATGTTGGCAAGTTGCAAGTAATTAACCATAACCATAGGAGGAAAATAAAGTCCACTAATTATTATGTCAACAGATTTTTGAACCAAAATTCCTTCAGCAACACTGAATATTTCATTGCTGAACAATTGGTTACCTTAGTTTTCATCAACCAAAGTGGCAAACTCTAAAGATGCCCTTGTTTCAGCTCTTGTACACCTTAAGGCGTAAGCGTTGTTTCTTATATTTAGTTCTTTAGTTAATTTAATCTCTCCTTTGAACTATGTATGCCTATTTATTATTATGTTTCCGTCTTATACCCACCTTTGGGTTTACCAGGTGATCTTGGCGTTGGTACCTCCACCTTATGCACTGGAGACTCTTCGAAGGTGCTTGGTCTAGGTGATCTGTGTCTGGATTGTTCCACAGTTGATTTTAGAGTCTCTCGAGATGAATCTGGGGAAATTCGCGGCTGTTCCCTTTTTACACCTTGAGGTTTGGTATCACTCATGAGGGAACTGGAATCAGCCTGAACATAACCTACAGACAGATCCCGTAACGCAATAAATTTGCCACAATAACTCGTTAATTAAAGAAAGTGAGAACAACAGACAGAAAAGAACAAAAACATACAGCCACTAAACTGTATGCATGTGAAGTATTTTTTCTTAACAATTCAAAAATGATTCCCATGAATTAGCTCAAACTATAGTTCTCTCGTCCCGCTACACGTATTTTTATAAATAGTTGTATTTGAGAATCAAAGACATTTATTCCACTAATTGTTTTTTCAGAAGTTTATTTACACTTACAATTATATTTCATCAAGAGATCATAATAGGAGCTATCAGTATTATGATCTCTTGACAGAATATCTAATATCTCTGCTTACTACCTTGGTCGCTTTTGGTTCCATAGGTGTCTTTCTTCTGACGTTTTTTTTCAGGCTGGGCGAGACCTATCAAATCTTCAGCTGTCAAAGAAGGAAAATTTCCATTTATTTAATAACAAAAAAGAAAAAAGTAGTACCTACTAACAAGACGAATCACACGGATTGCAGTCCCGCACAAATCCCCCCTTCCCTCCCCAACACCTCCCTCACTTGCTTGTATAAGGAAAAAGTACTTATCGCAATACAGTAACCAATGAAGAACCACAAGGTGTTTCAAAAGTTCATTCCGGTTTCTTCGTCGCTAAAAGTTCACTGATTATTAAAAATGCCTTTTATAAAACAAAGTATGTTATTCATTATTCATTTAACATTGAATAACTAAAATGTTAGTAACCAGAATGTCTTCCTTAATTTTTTCTGACATTTTCTGAGTTATGAGGTATAGAATGTGCGAGCTCCCAAAGTGTGTCACTTTTCCAGGCAAAGCGTAGTCACTGTCTTAGTTCGTCCAGTGTTTTGGGGGCTGGATCTTTGTATTTTGTCACGTCAACGATAATCCAGATGGTCTCTAGGGGGTTCACATCACGTGCGTTTGCCAGCCGGTCATTCTTTGCTATAAAGTTTGCAAATCCTTTTGGCACAATGTCTGCATGAAGTGTCCGCTGCGGTTTTCTCTTCAAGGCTTTCCAACCTTTGTTGGTCACATTTTTCCATGCCGCTGTGCTTAATATTGTGAAGTTGAAGTTCTCTTAACTTTCTGTCTTGTAGAATTATTACGCATATACTTACAGCTTTTTCGATAACATTTCTCATATATATTGGAGCCTCTTCAGTCATATATTGGCTCGAAAAGGGAGATATATCTCAAGACGTTTATTTTTTATTTTTACAGTTTTTACAGTTTCTAGATTTTTAGTGTGTTGAATGTGTAAAAAGACGCGATGTCCTCTTCTAGCTCTTGTTATTGTTAAATAGTAAACCAATAGTAACCACTCTGACTAGTTGTTGCATTAAATGAAATTTGATGCAGTCGTGGGTCCAAAACTGATGCTAGCAGGATTCATTTATCTGTTGATTGCAACTGGAAACAATCGATTCCCAGATAATGTCACAGCGAACCTTAAAATCTACTGTTTGTACAGACGACATTGTGTCTCCCGTTAGCTTATAGCTAAAAACATAGACACCTGAATAACGTTTTCATTCATTCATTCCTACCATACAAGGTTGCAATGTACTTAGCTATCTCTGTGGCTCAGATAGACGTCGATATGATGGCAACCAATCCGAAGCCGGGGCGCTAAAGTAGAAGAAATCGAGTAAGCTGGCCCGAACCGAGATCTACCCGCAAAGCGACGAGGAGAGATTAAAGATTAAACTAGAAGCTACTCTCTCCATCTTGTCGGTGTGAAGGAAGATAGGGTGCACCTTTCATTCATCCTCTACACACCAACATGCATTCCAGCTAAACTCCTTAATTCTTCAACGGCTACCACTACCACCACGCCTATTACAGCAGCCGTCACTACCATAATTACCACAACCACTACCCACTGTGGCCATGACTGCCGCTACATATGGCCACCACTACTTTTGATGCCTGGTCAGGGGCTAGCGGTCAAGATGGCCACGTTTTTTGTTGCCCTCCTTATTCAATAATTTTACAAACATTTAGATTTAACTTAGAGTTTCCTATGTCAGCGGAGCCCCACAGCTATCATGGGAAGGGATAGAAAATAGAAGCCTATCAATGCCAGAAAATTTGGCTGTGACGTTAGCCTGCACCGACCGTACAGACTCTCAGAAAAGGGGTAAAAAACTCAGTTGGGTAGGGATGGAAGTCCCAGACATGTACGCTGCGTTTCGTATTGGCACAAAATTAACCATTTTAAGGGCAACCAAGGAGTTGCTCGAGTAAAAATTCTTGATTGAAGTTTCTTGTATTCAACTTGCGACAAACTTTTCGGAAATAAATTTCTAAAACTTTGCTTTTTGCCAAGAGGTTTGGTCAAGCTTATGATCACACTCCAGGAATCACACTTCAGGAACGACTTAGTCTCTACTTCAAAAGTAGATTGAGTTTGATCGTCCGGGTGAACGTAGTCCTGAATAGGACTGTTGTTGTTGACAATGACTGACGTTTCGACAACCTGTGCGGTAGTCGTCTTCAGAGTCAAAGTGACTCTGAAGATAGTAATGCACTCTACTCGACTATTCTCTACCGCCGTTGATCGACTCGACCCTGCTCTAATGTTCTACTCTGCTCTTTCCTACGCTTCTTTTCTAACTTCTCTATCTAACTGTTCTACTACATTCGTTCACTCTTACAAACTCGGGAGGGTTTGAAGCTCTACCAGCAGATTCCACTAATTCTTTGGAAACATTTGTGTTTAGAACCTCTCTAGAGTAATTAGCGACAATAACTCGTAACATAAGCAAAAAATATTTCAAAAAATATTTCAAGATGGCGATTAGACTAAAATTGGCGTTTTCAAAAAGCCAAGTAAAAGCAAAAAATGTTCGCAGGTTTAAAAATGTTTTGGCCCAACTCAGACTCATTTAAGCCCGATGTACTTACGTGAGCACGGGAAGGTAATAAGTAAGTTGTGGCATAATTGCTGATTTATATAATTATTATAAGAACTTTAATTATCTTTGCTGGCAAGAGCGCCAATTAATCCTTCAACCACACCAAACTACCCAAACCATTCGAAAACAAACTCTTTTCATTGTCAATTGAGTCACAACAATGAAAGCGCTAATGAAATTCCGCTACGGTTTTCATTGCGCACTATCCCCAGCCATACATTACACTATTACTAAGTTTGCGTTTGATACAGTGTTAAGGTGGCTCGATACAGTTTTTCAGGGTCAATACCTCCCAAGTTTGAGCATAAACTACGTCGCCATAAACGAAGACTTGGAAACATTGCCACCACAGTTGCATTAGATAAAGATAACGATTTGTTATGATTAGGGTTGCAACGACATCAGGGTTGTCATAGCAACGAAGTGACGCTATTAACTATTTTACTTGCATCAGTATATCTCGGCACTGGGAACTTTTCTTCCAAAATCGTTTACGGTAGCTTTTTCCTCCAATAGCGGCCTCGTTGTTCGTGAAGTTTAAGTGAAATCTGTAAGAGTGTTATCGAGATATTTTGGGATGAAGTTTTTGAAGGTTAGAAACACAGCAAAAAATGGACAAACTTGATGTTTGGCCATTATCTGTAGAAAACGAGGCACTTTTGAGATGCAATTTCACCTCAAAGTAGTTTCATTCTTTTTCAAAACGTGTGTGAAAGATCATGGAGATAGCTCCAGCCGATTGCTTGAAAGAAGGTATGTCTTAGCATGGGAATTTGGTTTCCCCCTACTACCGTCCTGTTAACCATTTTTGTATTTTTGTTCGATTGTACATGTTAGTATTAGTTCATTTGTATCAGTTATGTATGGTTACGAACTGTGATTAAAGATTAAAGATTAAAGATAAGTATGTATCGAAGTGCTCTTGTTAGTAGCCTCCCAAGCAGGCGTTTTTAGGGGAACATTAAAAAATTAGCGAATAATTTTAAAACCGCTGGACAGATTTTTTTCAAAAAGTAATATTCTTGAGATTAACCTTCCTTTTATATAACCTTTTAGTTTCAAGATTATTGATATACGTAAGGCAGTAAAATTGGGGCTACAATTCGTTAATTTTTTATCGGAAGTTTCGTCATTACAAGTAAAAGCCTCTCATTGTTCAGGGTTATGTTTCCAAGTTTCATTTTCACGTGAACAGCAGAAACTAACAATGCATTTGAAATATGCAAAAATGCTAGCTATTGTTGTGCACAAAAATATGGAACTTGGAGACAATATCCTGATTAATGAGAGGCTCTCACTAGTAAACACAAAATTTCTGACAAACTATTAGCGAATTGTAACCCTTATTTTACCCCGTAATTTGTGAAAGTAGACCAAAATGTTTACAAACCGCTAACAAGATAGCCTCCCAAGCAGGCGTTTTTAGGGGAGCTCGTTTTTCATCCCTCCCACAAACTGAAGACAACATTCCTTTCCCAAGCTTAGCCAATCACATTGTACTTTCCAAATTGTGGAAAGTTGACCTTGACCGCAGGGTAATCTGATAATTACTCAATCTGCATGAAACAGTGGGAAAGCTTTCTGACCTCCAATAAATGTTAGATTCAAAGAAGCAAAAGTAAGATTTAGTCAAATTTTAGAATACTTCATGCATAACCTTAGCGAAGGAAAGAAAAGAAAGAAAACGGTAACTCTAGGGTCACGTTTTAGTCTTGTTTAGCCTGTCAACAATTTATTTCACAACTGTTGATTGGTCACTTACCACGCAATTAAAACAATGGGAAAGGAATGTTGTTTTCGAGTTGAGCAGGCGTTTTCTTCGTTTTCTACAGTTAACAGCCGAATATCAAGATTGTCCATTTCGTTTTACCGTATTTCTAACCATAAAAACGTTACTCCAAAATATCTCGATAACGCTCTTACAAATTTCGCTTAAACTTCACGAACATCGAGGCAGGTATTGGAGGAAAAAGCTCCCGTAAATGATTTTGGAAGAACAGTTCCCAGTGCCGAGAAATACTGCTGCAAGTAAAATAGGTAATAGCGTCATTTCGTTGCTATGACAACTCCGATGTAATTGCAACCTTGATCATAACAAATTTTCATCTTTATCTGATACGACTGTGATGGCAATTTTTCCAAATCTTTGTTTATGGCGACGTAGTTTATGCTCAAACGTGGGACGTATTGACCCTAAAAAACTGTATCGAGCCACCTTAAGCTAAAGATGAGATTGACTTATTTAAACTCTTTTAAGGCACCAAGCCTTTAGACAAATTAAAACGTGTCTTTTAATTAACTACATTTCAGTTCATCTCACATGTGAGGGTTAGAAACCACCTCCTTTCCATTTATTACTGAGAAACCAAAGGCCCCCATTCAAAATATAATTTCTCGTCTCTGATTGGCCAGAACCATAAATAGCACCAAAATTCATTATTTCGAAATTGGCCGTCTTGATCCATTTCCATCTTTGTCGTCTGCGTACACAGGCCATAGAAAATGGTGAAAATAGCCTTAAAGCAGCAAAGAGTCATTGGCAATTAAACCAGACCATCAGTTGATTTTGGAGATGATTTTGTTATTCAAAGCAGAAGCTAAAATGGTTCTTCTAAGCAAATAAAATATGCCACCTTCAATACAAGTGCAGACTAATCTGCGGACCAATTTAGATTCTGACCCAACAATATAATTATATAAGGTTATCATTTTTCTCTTTGGCTTCTTGTCATGGGTCATTCCAAACGTTTTCTTTTCTTTTTACCTTAAATTTTGTTCTTCAGTATTATATAAATAAAGATTGCATGGTAAAGCTTAACGAAATCAGAGGCACGATAAGCTCCTAAAACAATGCTACAAATCATAAAATGTTCTTTTACTTCTGACCATGGTAACAATAAACTGCAGCTTTTTAAATCTAGTGACACTAACCTTGACGTTTCAAAAAATCCTCTTCACAAGCTTTGTAATCTTCCTCTTTAATGGATGTTTTAATTTCAATCCCAGTAACCCCAAAAGCACTTAGAGTATTATCTGTCACAAGGTATTTCTGCACCATTTCACCCAGATGACCAGAGAGATAGTCTTCCCACAACTCACGAAGAATCTGCAGAGAGCTACATTTTACTACGATGGTTAAACTTCCTATCTGGATGTCACTGATGATCACTTTGCGAACTTTATCGAGATACTGTGCTAAACCATCAAACTCCTCTGCTGTAGATGGATTAACTTTCTCTACATATCTCCTTCCAAGTAGTGCAAGAAAGTCTGCTACAGGATTTGTTGCAGCGAAAGCCTGCATGTGAATTCCAAGACAAGGTGCTGAAAAAAAAAACAAAACAAAGAGATGTGGATGCCAAGAAAGTTCAACACGTGATGATTGACAGCTTACAGATTTCCCTTAGCATGGGCAATTTGTCTAATGTTTTGATGAGATCCTTTCTTTTAGTATTTAATGAAACCTACATGTAACACTGGTATGGTATTCAAATAACGGTAAACAATTGGTATTATTTCTTTACAACTAGCACTAAAAGCTGCTATTCATTATTTAAAAGTTGTAATAGACCATTTTACAGTTGTGGACCTAGTACCCTAGTCTTCGAGTGAATGTAACGTTGACGGTGGCCTTGTTTTGATACAAACCTCCTTTGCTTTGTTATGGAAATTGTCCTTGAAAAATACCAGTTAGCATAAGAACAACTTTATTTTGCATAATAAAGTAGGAAGTTTGTATCAAAACAAGGTCACGCATCATCCTCGCTTCAATCCATTACTGTAAAATGGCCTGTTGGCTATTAGAGCCAACCGACCAGTTTTTTTAACAACAATTTTGGCGCCAATTTAGAATATTTTCCAAGTCCTAGAAAACAGTCAGCAAAACCTACGGACTAGAAAAAAGTATTTTTGACCATTTAAATGTGGCTAAATGAAATTTAGGCAAAGTTAAAATAGAAACAATGCTGGGCAGCGGCTTCTTGTTGCCTGCCTTGGGTCGCCCCAGACATCCAGCAGAGGCACCTCGTGATTCATAAATGCATTTTGCTTGCTTGCAGTTACTTGCAAAGTCATATTTAGCTTGCCTACCGTTGCCTTGCTTAAATTTTTCTGCCCACTTCACCCTCCCAACAGTTCCTCCTAGATAGGTAAGTATTGTGAAAGGTAAGTATTAGTGGTAAATAATTCCACTGAGTGATTCAGTGTGACAGTGCCTGGTGGTAGCCCCTTGCACGGTTGCCATGGATACCTCATTTCTTGTTACAGCTTTGCCCGGCTCCATCAATCCTTAAAGGCACCAGCTCCCAAGCTCATCTATTGCTGATGAGTTTAACAACGTTTTGTTTTCCTTTTTCATACCTTTTGCTTCGAATGCGCTCATAGAAGGAACGATGCTTTCATTTTCGTGCGAAAAGGTGCTTCGTGTAAACGACATAACTTAGGCCTCATAGGGAATTTCTTGCTCTACGTTGTAGGCTCCTTGACCGTGTTATTCAATAACAAAATAATAGCCCTTTGTGGTCCACTTTTTCGCTTAACTATCCAATAGATTTTGTGAACAGAAAAGACATGAATTCTCTAAAAGTATCAACAATGGTCCTACAACTACAACGTGAATCAAGGATAAAATCAAAATTTATTGTGTTGGTTTATCGTAAACAAGGATTTTCATTTCAATAATAATTTAATAATTTATAGAGCGCTATTCACCTACTCTTTCATAGCGCTTTACAATGATAATGTTAAAATAGAAGCTAAAAGCTAAAATATACCTTAAAAATATCAATACATGTAACCTGCGAAAACATCCGTTTCTCCTCGCTCTTCGCCGCTGGGGACGTTTCGCGCGGAGGAACGTCTGCGACTCAGTGACAGAAATTCCATACTGATGACGTAAAATCTGTCCGGAATCCGGTCAGAAGCGCTGACTGGTCGACGGAGTAGTTACATTGTTTTAGCTATTGTTTACGAATGACAGACAAAAGGCCACAAAGGTCAAATGTAAACGCGAAGAATCTCTAACAAAACATCAATAAACCTGGGTAAAAGAAAGTCTGAATTTCTTAAACTGTAGCATGATTCACGAGGTTTAAAAATGTTGGTGATGGCTTCGGAACACATTTTAGTGTGTTTAACCTTGTACATCAAGACATATGCGTCCTAATGTACAAGGTTAAACACACTAAAATGTGTTCCGAAGCCATCACCAACATTTTTAAACCTCGTGATTCATGCTACAGTTTAAGAAATTCAGACTTTCTTTTACCCAGGTTTAACACAGTTTCATTTGGTAAGCACTTCCTTCGATATTTAGGTCCCATTTTATGGAGTAAGCTGGACAAAAATGATAAAACGTGTAAATCATTAAGTGATTTTAGAAACCGAATGCGCAATAAGGATCTGACATCTATTAGCGATGATGGATGCAAAGGATGTCTTCTGTGTGATAGTTGATGTCTTATCGGAAATAATTTTAGCATTTTAGCACTCAGCTTTAGTATTTTAGCTAACAATTTGTAACATATTGTATGGATTTTTTTACCTACTTAATTATTATATCTATTATATTTTAACTGTAGGTGTCCCCTATTAGTAGAGGGCCTGCCCCTCGGCTAGTTTTTTCTTTCTTGACACAATAAAGTTTCTATCTATCTATCTAATATTTGTGGAACATAGTTTTCTCTAGAAGAAGCATTTGAGTTTTGCTGGAGCTAGTTGGCAGATGGACACAACACTTTACTAAAATCGACCAGAAGACACGTTGGACAAATCCATATTTGGAACCCCATCAAGACTACCGGATTTATTATGTAAACATTGATTTGCGTCATCAGTATGGAATTTCTGCCGCTGAGTCGCAGACGTTCCTCCGGGCGAAACGTCCTCAGCGGCGAGAGCGAGGAGAAACGGATGTTTTCTCTGACTAATATACATGTAGAAGAAATGAAAGTTAAACGTATAAAATCTTAAAATACTGAGAAAAATTTACAGATAATAAAAATATAAATACGTGTACTAGAACGGGTACTGGATGAGAATTTCAGCAGAGTGCTGGGTGAGATATTTGCGAATCTTTGATATATTTCTGAGATGGTAATTTGCCTCACTACATATCTTTTTTACATGTTGTTCCATACAAAAGCAATTGTCCATGATGACTCCTAGGTTACGCGTAGGCGACTTAAGAGCAGTGAACTCATCTCTAACCCGAACATATTCGAGATTTGGTCTAATTCGAAATTTGGAGCTAATGAAGACAAGTTCAGTTTTGTCTTGATTAAGTTTCAATAGGTTTTTACACATCCAAAGGTCTATTTCTTGAACACAGAGCTCAACACGCAACTTTGCCTTATCAAGATCAGCAGAGCTATCAGTATTGAAGGATATATATAGTTGCGTGTCATCAGCGTACAGATGTTATGCTAAGTTGTGCTTTTAATGATATCAGCAATCGGCGCAGTGTAGACGAGGTACAGCAGTGGGCCCAGTACCAACCCCTGAGCAACCCTACGGAGCAACGGTTGCTTTGATGACATGTCCTCCTCTACCTTAACAACCTGTTGGCGGGAGGTTAAGTAAGACTTGAACCAGGCCAATGCAGTTGCCTTCACTCCGAAACGGTTCGAGAGTCGAGATATTAGTATTGCATGATCCACCGTGTCAAATGCTGCAGAAAGGTCTAATAAAAGTAATATGACCTACTTGTTTTGATCCAGAGAACACAAGATGTGATTTTGTACTCTAAGTAGCGCTGTTTCAGTTGAGTGAAATTCTTTGCATGCTGAATGAAACGTCTGATCAAGTTGGTTGGTCCTAACATGTTTCGTCAGTTGAACTGCCGCAGACTTTTCAACCAGCTTGGAAATAAACTTTTGAACTGCTTGAAGTCAGCAGTTGGTTTCTTTAGCGCAGGTGAAAGCGAAGCAATCTTTAGGGCATCAGACATTAAACCAGTTGTCAATGACAAGTGAACCATCCTGGTAGTAGTACGTAGGAGTACAGGGAAGCAACCCTTAAGAACTAATGCCGGCAGAGAATCAAGACAACCGGACTTGCTTAGAGGCTTATAAGTAAATTCCTTGATGTCCTCTTGACTGACCTCATGAAAGTTATTTAATTCAGCAGCGTTTGAGGGCAATTCATCGTCATCAGCTAGCGATAGATCTGTGTTTCTTGCCACAAGGGCAGTGTGAATCTTTTCAACTTTGGCACTGAAGTTGATTTCATATGACTGTATAGCTGACTAGGCCCTGATTGTTTAATATAAAACACGGAAGAGAAATGCTTCCTCTCTTTTTTAAAGACTTTTGACTGGTTGATCGTAACAAACCTCTATTATTCGTTTAGTAAAGAACAAGTCTCTGATTCGCTATAACCTGAGATCAGGCTCTATTTTCGTTTCGCTTTGAAAATTACATTCCGGCGGGTAAGGCGAAACGAAAAGAGAGCCTGATACAAACCTTCTACGAAACGTCTGCCGCCCACTTTTTTGATTGATTGACATTTGCCGAATAAGCCAAGCAAAATTACTTCCGTTGCTTGTTTTTCTAGTATGCAATTAAATTTTTCACGCGTGGGAAAAATGCAGACTGGCTGACTTTAAAAAAAGCTTTTATCTGTTAATTTTTTTAGCGAAAAGTAAAACAGTCAGCACAATCACATTTAACTTCTTGCGAGATTAAGGGAGATCTCGAAGGTTATTTCTGTAGGCGTAGAAGGTAAAAAGTTTTCGAGAAGACGGCGACACGATGTTCTACTAGTTGTATTATTTTGGCTAGGCGCGCTCGAACTTAAAATACTGAAATTTCTATTTTTCTGTTGCCTTAATATTTTCCTCGGCAATTTTCCCCGATTTTCAGTACATAAATCTTTAAAAACAAAAGCGAACAGCCAACGAGCGAGGACACTAGTTTTCCTGGTTTATTTTTTTACAAAAAGCGAAGGCAAAAAACCTGTCTGTTACCTTAAGCCACCAGCTTTTATAATAATGCCTACAAAAATTCCTTGAACAGCGATGCGATATTTTTCGTTTAAGTATTATAACACTTCACAGTTGGCGATTGAGGTTTCTTTCGCAGTGAGAAGTCATTCCTGGCTAAACTTTCAAATGAAACCAGTTTTAAGATGGACAGTATTTTGATTCGCACTTGTTTGTTGGTAAATCAAAAGGCACCTTGTTAGCGGTCAACAACTTGCAGAGGGATTCAACTCCGCGATACACTCTCATTAGTTCCGTAAATAAAGCAAATCCTGAGAAGATATGAACAACCATATGAATTTTCTAAATTTCCGTGGCACATATTAAGGCATATTTTCCTACCACAAGACCATAAAACAATAAAAAAGACAGCAAAATCGATCCTTCTCTCCGCCGACTACGGATCATTCACGAAAACAACCACGCGAGGAATAAGCCCTCTCAACTTCCGGCGTTTCCGATAGCCAATCAGATCTTGTGGCATTGTTCTAACAGCCAATCAGCATTACGGCCAAAATCTGGCCGTAACGAGCACAAACGTGAGAGAGTTTGTATCAGGCCCAATTTTAGCGGTAGCCGTTAGAGAGAATGTATGCCGAGAACCGCTAAAATTGGGCCTGATCTCAGGTTAGATTCGCTAAGTCAGTTATATTAGTACACAAGAAAGTGGAGTGGTACCAAAGATCTCCAGAAAAGGACTATTTCTTTTAAGCTCCAAAGTGTAGATACAGCTGTATAATTATACTATGTTCGATTTGATTACGAAAGTAATTAAATAATTACGAATGAAAACCATTACGAAAGTACTTTAATCGTGAAACTAACTTTTGCGACCTGGAGCGGCTTGAGCTCATGTATGCCCTGTTTGTAATGACATAGTCGCTGACACAAAGTGCAGGTAGACGACCAGAAATCAAAGTCCTAAAATAATTGCAGAGTAGAATTGTAAGTTTAACCTGCACTATGGAGTCATTAAGCGACCACCCCCATAAAGCGGCCGGGGCCACCTTTTGACCGTTCCGACGAGAGTTCACCTCTGTGAAGAGGCTACCGTTTGATACTTTGTTTTGAAAACATGATGAAGTAAAATACAGACAGAGATGGAAAGTCACGAATATTTGGGTACCCGTAATGTAACAGCACGCCAAGGTATATACTGTAGCATCGTTCGTGTAAAGTTCAGTGGGAGAAACTGGTCGCAACATTTGGTGGAGAATTTGCTCGTTTGCTACAATACTCTAATAGTTTTGCTCATTATTAGAGCTGTCTCCTGTCAGTTCGACTATGACCTTAGCAAAAGTTGTCAGAAGCCTCTAAAAAGGAGTTTGTTTCCGAATTAAGTGAAGTTTCATGCTAATCCATGAAGAATCTCTATTCAGTAGCCTTCGTTGCAGACGGCCCAAGCTTCGTCTCGACCATTGGCAGAGGCTCTATACAGGTGGTTTAGAGTGTCTGCGACGCAGGCTACAATTCAGCGGTCAACCTCCATTAACTGTCCACTTGCCGTTACCCCGAGGGTGGCCGCTTAATGGAGGTTTAATTGCGTTTTTCTGAAAGGAGTCCTAACAACATAGACATGTTACTGTTGAAATCAACTGCCAAGCCTTTCATGACAAGACATGAGAGGCTTAATGTTCTTAATATCGTTTTAACAATAACACCGTACGTGAGCGCGTTGGTACCCTATTTCGTTTGCAGTGTTAATGTTGTTGGTGTTTGTACTGTTTCGCCATACCCAAGTTTACTCTCACGGTATAACTTCCACCTTTCTTTAACGTTTCTCCTTAGCCCGCGTTAGTTTGTTCAAAAGCGTGTTGGTCTTCGTTGCCGACCTTCCTCGGTAATCGACGATTTTGCGGTTGCCGAGTTAGTGTTGTGTTTTTAAAGTTTTCACTTCCCTAGTTCGTTTGCACGGTGCTGTTCTTGTCTTTTTAATGTTTCTTTTTTCTCGTTCTTCAGTTCGCTCATCTTTCACGTTTTCCCCGTTTCATTTAAACAGCGTTGATGCGTTGTGTTTTAGATGTTTCTCCCCTCAATAGTTTCTTTTACAGAGCTAAATTAAATCCTTCTTGTTAACGTTTTCCCGTACCTCAGTTCGTGCATATGACGTTTTTAATAGTTATTTCGCCGTGCGTCAGTTCGTTCAGATGTTAAGGCCTGGCTTTTCAACGGTCCTTTGCAACCTGGTTCGTACGCATGTTTTGAACGATTTGCGAAAACATTAGTGCAATGTAAGTCTCGCCCTCTTTTTGTTTCCTTTGTACTTTGGCTCGTTCGTCTGATTCCATGCGGAATTATCTATTTACCGTTTCTTTGCATCCTGGTTCGTTCGTAAGTTAATGAAGTTTATATAAAGGTATTGGCAATGAGATCATTATTGCAATTTTTAATGAAGTGTCATGCTCCGCTGAATGGCTTCATACTCTAGCTCGTCCGTTATGATTTGAAACTTGTCTTTTCAAAACTCACCTCTAAACGTCAGTACCTTGTGCAGTGTTAACCTTACTTTTCTTTTTCATCTTAGGTACGTTAATTTTGTGTACGTTAATACTGAGTTACTCTCATAGTGTCTTGTTTCAATAGGAAGAAACAGAAGCGTGTCATTTGCTCGGTGGCATGTTATGAAGGCATCAAGACAGAAACCAAATGGAAACAAAATAGGTCTCTCAAACAACCATGATGGTTATAACCCACCATTATTCGGTTATTACATAAAAAGCCCCAGGCTGGGTATAATGCCCTTCATTCATTCAACACTTTTTCGGCTATTGGAAGATTGACGTCAGTGGGTCATCATCAACCATCGTTGAATGATGTATACCTTTTAAATTGGTCAGAATGAGCTCATTAGAAGAAAATTAACCAGATAAAATATCTTGAGCATGAATTATAGTGACGATACATTGTCTTATAAAGCAACTTACCTTCGGTTAAACCTGACTCAACAGTAGTATGACTATCTCTTAACCACGTTGCTAGCATTAACCGACTTAATTCTTCAATTGCAGTTTCTACTCTCTTAAATCCTTCCTCGACAGTTTTCTTTAATTCCAGGTCTTGCCGATACCACTCCTCCAGTTCTTCAACATTTCTTTTATCCTCAGCTGTAAGAGGACTCTTTAAGGACTTATCAATTTCCATCTTCCATTTCTTTTTCTCTTCACGGCTCAAATGCCCTGCAATTCTAAGGAGAACCTCCCGGATTTCACTCCAGTCGGATTGAAAATCATCATCTGCGATATCCATGGTTCCCGTCACATGGGCGAGCTTGTTCCGATAGTCTTTTATCCGCATTAGATCTGCAGCTAGACTATAATCTCCACTTGCAAGTGGTTTATCCCATCCATTATGAGGAGGAGTAAGGTTGCATATTTGGTTGGTCCTTAGTAATCTGAACAACAGAGTTATATCACAGTCCGTGGACTCGCCATACGCACCTGGAGAGGGGTAAAGAGTATCCCGCTGTCGTTTGGTAAGTTTGGGATGATTCACAGTCAACTCCTTCTTTATCGAAGGATCACTAAGCTTTCTTGAAAGATCTCTTGGTGGACAGTATTTGTCAAAAATTTCTCTTAGGAGCCTGATGCCCCCAGACATCAACAGACGCGTAAGACGTTGAAAATTTGCCTTTTCATCCGTTGGAGAAAGCACTTCGTCTGGATCTGCCATTACACTGCTATGCTTGCAGACAGAAAACGTATCAGATTTTCAAAATGGACTTCAAAGTTAAAACAGCTGAATTTACGATTCTACCTGAAAAATATATTAAAATATCAAACATTACAACTGCGTTTATAAAGAAGTTCAAATAGAGTAGAACTAGAGTTAGACGCTTTACCAGGTTCACTACAGTAACCAACAACAATGATATAGTACAGTGGAACCTCGACATAACGAAACCTCGTTTTTGCGAACATAATTGCCAGTCCCTTGGCCCTTCGTTATACAAGGTTCCACCGTATACTGTACAGACTGGGCTTGTAGTAAACTTGCATCAAGTTGACCTCTTAATAGCTGCCTGTGAAGTAATTTGTAGAAATATTTTGTCTACTGTGTTTGGTTGGTATGAGATGGTGTATGAACTTTCTGGCGCGGAGAGACATGGTGATGATATGCTTTTTTACCCATATGCCGTGTTGAAATCTTTGATACAACATGTCGTAAATGGAATAAAGCTGTTTCGATGATGTTGCTTGTTTTCTCTCCTGTACACCTGTCAAACGTTCACTGTGATAATATAACGGACAAAAAGTGGTATTTGTTGAAAATCGAACTTAAAGGATAACGTCGATAAAGGGCTTTTAACTGGGCTGCCTCTGAGGCAGATCCAGTTTTTTAAACGGGTATGTCACGCAAGGACCGACAAGAATTAAAAGAATTACAGCAAAACACTGGCATCGACATCCAGCGGACAAGGGAATCACTACAGTAGACATGAAAAAAAACTGACAAAATACAGAGAAGGTCACTGAATACTAATGGACGACGAACATAACTACAGACCTCTCGTTAAATCAATGGTGAAAGAAACGCACAGCAAAGTCGTGCTCCGAAAAGGCCACTTGTACTAACAGCTCACGTACCCAATGCTTCCTTTAAACAATGAGTTGGAATCTTGTTGAGGCCAAAAATTGACAGAGCACGTAAAAATAATCGAACATATTTTATTGATAACAATGCTAACTATTAAAATCCTGTTAACAATTAATTCACTTAAAAAAACACTATTCCGTCAAAACACTATTTACAATTCCTTTCGTTTAAAAAACACTTAGTTTTGATTACAAAAAATTCATTTAATTAAAAAAAAATCGTTCGAATTAAAAACATTTCATTTCAATTAAAACAATCCATTTCGATTTAAAAAAAAAGAAAGTATTTTCAAGGTCAATTTGCATTCTTACTAAGAAAATCACTAAGAAAGAGGGAAATTAAGTAGCGTTCTCAATGCGTTATTGACGATTATTTGCCATTTAAAAGTAAGGAAACACATCAATAGTCCGATTGAATGGCTCCTTGAGCAACTTGGACGTCAATGTCAACATTCTTGACGTCACATGGCACTCTTCTTGTCCTAGAGCCTCTAAGACAAACCAACGCAGATCTCAAGAGTGCGAATGAGGTTCTGATCCATGAGATGGTTTTGGCATACTGCTCCCCTTTTTTTATGACAATCAGCTGTCCTAAACGGCTATGATACATCAAGCACTCTTTTCCAATTCCGCCAGTTGTGGTGAAGACCAAAGGTGAAAATGTTCCATGCTCGATGTCCAGAACTCTCCTTGAGTAGAGACGCTTTTTCTCGTTCTCGTGGATACGAAAAATTTGTTGTGGCTCTAGGTTCTTATTCGATACAGCATTAGGGTGACAGACCCTCACATCGAAGAATGCTGATCAATGTCGCTCCCAGAAACCACGCGCGTGGATATATAACCTCGCATCCTAAGCTTTGTTAGATCCTCTGTTTAAATGTTCGCCGGAGATGTCTTGAAGTACTGGCTCGATCTCGACATCGCTACACACCATACTCAGAAATTCAGCTTCGAGATCTCTTAACTCGTTGTGGCCTTGAGTAATAAAACCTCCTAGTTTGCAATTCATAGAGTGATCAACCGTAAAGGCTTCCCCACAAGCACATGTGGAGGGATATCTTCCACTGGCCAGTCGTAGCGTAGTTTAACAGCATCACGGAACTCCCTCTTATTCAGGTTTAAGCCCAGATCCTGGGGGAAAGCACTGTAAGCCATAATGATGATCCCTTTTAAAAACTGTCTTACACTCGAAATTTGTTCAGAAAGAATTAATTCATAATTTTACAAATCACATTTTGGTCACGTGACCAGCTACGAACTTACTCATTTTAAGAAAATGGTGCGGGTTTGAAAAACCAAATTACTGTTATTTTGTTTAAGATATGACCCACTAATCGTTTTTCGACGAAAAAATCATATAACTTTCATTTTCATAAAAATGATGTCACATGACCTCTTAGTGCAAATGGCCTATAAGGGATCTACACCGTGAAAAACATTGATGACATGACGAGAAAAATCTGAAACACCCAATCCACCTAAAATACCAGAGTTCTACACCCTAACAAAAATTCACAAACCAACCAAAACAGTGAGACCAATAATCTTTGGGTGCGATGGTCCAATAGAAAGGGGGTAAAAGGCACCTTGTGTCAAAGAAAGAGGAAATCCCCCGGGAAATCCCTTGATACCCTTGTGCGCTTGATGTTAATGTCAGTGTTTTGCTGTACAGTAGAACCACGATAACTCGAACTCTGGAGGGAAACGATAAACAATTCGAGTTAATAGCGGGTGTCGAGTTATTGGTGTCGACTGATTATTCAATTTGCCATGTTAATCATCGATAGTACTTATTTTTCAGCACTCCCGGGATATACCGACAGTGCAATTCAAATTTCATCAGAAACGGTAACATGATAATGCTTTTTTATGAAATGTAAAAACCAGAATTCGAATTATCGGGGTAAATTTCGCTGAGATTTTGATCAAGGAAAAGGACATTTACTTCGAGGCGGAGTTTGCGAGGAATTCGAGTTTTCGGACGTTAATGCGTGTCGTTCCTTGCGTGACAGGTTATGTCACTTTGTTTATCGAAACTCGTTATGCTTGTGCTTGTTGAATTGGCGGAGACACGGAAATTAGGAAAAGAATAACAATCGATCACGCACAAATTTAATGATACAGATACATACAAAAACACACGCTCAGTGGATAGTAAGCCACATTGAGAACAACTATAACCTCTAAAATGCTAAGTCCCTAAACTTTGTACTAAACAGAAAGAAATCAATCTTTAACAGACTTAGCCTCCCACGCAGGCCTTTTTAGGGGAGCTCGTATTTCTTCCCTCCCCACAGGGGGAGGGAAGAAATACGAGCTCCCCTAAAAACGCCTGCGTGGGAGGCTACAACAGACTCGGCCAAGATGGACAAACATTTTTTAGGGACGGACCATTAGAAAACTTATGGGGGTGGGGGGCGAAGTACAAAAAAAATATTCGCGCAAGGCCTTAGGGAAATTAAATGAAAAAAAATTCTTGCACGCCAATTAATCCTAAAAAATATTCATGCCATGGCCTAAATATTTTTGTCTTGTTGCACAATATCGATCATACATTATTGATCATGTTGAATCTTGATATGTTTTAGAGCGGGTTGCTTTCTCTTAAAAGCTGTTCGCTGTTTGTTCTGGTTAACTTATCGGTTTCTTGAGTACAATAATTCTGTATAGTCTAAAGAGGGATGCGAAATGTAACTGCCTCAAAAAAACTATTTACATGTAAAACCTTCCTTCTTACCTTGAAAGGTCTGGAACTGAAGGATCTTTTACAGAACTGAGATTTGAAATTTCCAGTTTTGCGTGACCCTGTCAAGAATATGATGAATATGATATCACCAAAACATCATTGCAATGTCCTGCTTTAGAAGATCTGTTAACCATTTTTAAAGACATTTAACTCTTTTTCAAATTCCAACCTGCAACCTGCAAATTACACCCTCCGATGGCAAACAAGTATAAAATTAAACATCTTCGAGACTTATGCCAAAAGGAAATAAAAAGGAAAGGTTCCCAAATGTTCGATATCGCGGTTGCAATACATGTAGAGCTAAATTATACGCAAGTGAGCTTTCTTGTATAGCTGCACTGCAACGTCGTCACTACGGATTACTTTCTTGTTCCCCAAGTGTAGGAAAGCATTTTAAGAAGTATGACTAAGGGAAAAAGCTACTTCGCATTGCTTCACACATTTTTAAAATACAGCGTTACAAAGAATGGGTGATTGAAATTAAAGGTAGTGATCGATTAACCCTTCTACTCTACTCACTTAGGACCGAAATTTGTTCTGTGTAATCGGTCGGGTAAAAATAATTTAAAAAGATGAAATTATAGTTAGCACGGAATGTTGAACGTAGAACACTAAGCTATTGTCTTCAACAAAAATATTAGGAGTGGAAAAACCTGTGTCACGGCTGTCAAGTTCATTTTGCATTTCGTTAGACATCTTGTTAATATCGCCAATTAAACTTCCTTATGGAATATGCGCTATGGAAGTTGACGTTAACGAAGAAATTAAATCACAGCTTGTTGTCCAACAATGTACTTCTCAAGCATTACCCCAAACGTTACAAACAAACAAAAAATTGCGATAATGAAAAGGTTGAAATCTTTGGCACAACTTGTTGTGGATGGAATAAAGTGCTTCCATAAAGCTTTTTTTCTCGCTAATACATGTGTCTCAAACAATCGTTGTGATAACCGACAGCAAGTATTATTTCTTGAAAATGGAAATTGAGGGATAACGTCGATAAAGGGCTTTTTCCGATAGCAATGGCAAACAAGTGAGTTAAACCTCTTCGAGACATATACCTAGAGGAAATAAAAAGGAAAAGTTCCCTAATGTTCAATGTCGTAGCTGTAATAAAGCTAAGTTACGCAAGTACGGTCGCTTCTGATTACCCTTCCTTGGCAATATCTAGGTAAATGTGAATCAAAAATCTGCTTAAGATGCACCGCATACAAGAATACTACTTAACCGTTGAAAGTAAAAATATAACGGAAAGGTGTAATTGAAGCTTCAGTTTGTTTACTAACTGCCTACTTGACCTGTAGTCTACGCATAGCCAGAGAGCGTATGCAAATATTGAAGGGTGGGGTCGGCGCGGCCACCAAATTTGTAAGAAGACAATTTGTTATTTGTAATCGCAGGGGTAAAAATAATTTTGAAAAAGATGAAATTATAGTTAGCACGGAATGTTAAACGAGATGTTTTGCGCCGGAAAGTGCACGTTGGAATAAGTAACTTGACGGATTTTACTGAGGGCTGACATCAAAACAATCTAAATACCAGAGGCACATGCACAACTCATTCATAACAACTCATGCACAACTTAGAATCACAGAGATTAAATACACATTAAATTATTACTTCGATCGCCATCAGATGTCAGTTGAAGATGCATATACACCAGAATTATTTAATCGAAGGCCGGAGTAGTTTATGATTCTTATGTTTCAACTAGTGTACGCCCTGGTCAACCTTCCGCTTCGTGTCGAAGTCTCTTTATTAAAACATAACGAAGCGACAAGACGCCAATAAAATGACCCATGCTTTCACACCCCCATCCTATCCTAGTCCCTAAGAGACATTCTTAGACTTATTCTCCAAGGGAATTCATTTGAATTCAACGACAAGAACTGCAGCAAAAAGATGGCAGTCACCTTTGCCAACACTTTTACGACTTCGGTTTGGACAAAAATACTGAGCCTTAGGAAAACTTAAGGTGTACTATCCAGATTTATTTCAAGCTTGGCACAATTGACAGCCACAAATAGGACATCAAAAAACTGTAATTAAAAGATGGGGTGACCGTGCTTGTTTTCGCCCTGCGTGACCGTAATTCTAAGTGATTTCCCAGACGCCCGCAAAATTTTCGAAACTTGAACAACCGTAAAAAAATTCATGTTATCATTCGAAGCAAAGTTTTCTTTCTTTTCATTGGCCAAGAGCCCACCACGTGACCTGAAATAACCGCCTACAAATAAAGGTCTGCTCATGCGCAATGCCGTCCAACTGTGTTTGGCTTTAAAGTGTTTAGCTGCAAATAATATTCTGCATATGCGTAAAGGAAACCATGCTTTTCTCCTTCTTGCGATCTCTCTTGCGTGAAAATGGCAGATCGCTTCGCTTCCTGGGGATATTCCGATTAAAAAATACAAACTCGGTGATCGAATGATAAAACAATTATTGAACTCGGTTATTGCAAAATATCGTGATTTGTCAGTGTCTCGCAGATCAATTATTTGCCAAAGCCTTCGGCTTCGGCAAATAATTGATCAGCTCGCCACAGACAAATCACGATATTTTGCTCAACCTCTTCTAATAAGTGTTAATTATTTTGCAAAAACTGTGAATCGCTCAGACTTCAAAAAATAAGTAAATAAATAAGGAAAATCCAATTCAACGTATTTTATACAGGTTATTGTTATTGAAAAATTCATCTATCTTTTTTAACTTAAAAGGATGAATTCGAAATTGAGTTCTGTTATGATCATTTCAGTACAAACCAATATAATGATGCTTAATACAAATAATTTGTTAAGAGACGCTCAGACTTAAAAACAATAGGTGAGTTCACACTGGACTTTTCAAGTTCGCTTAAAGTGCATTTGAAATGCACTTGAGAATAACCCTTTTTGAGAACGGGTCCTGTTTCACTTGACTAATCTTGACTAGTCGTACTTAGTTGCCACAGAACCTTCGAAACCTCAAAGAGCTGAAGTGCGCTCTCACGTAAGGTCAAAACCTTCCTTGAGACTTCACTTACCCAACGAAAGCGTCAGAAGATTATTATCAAAGTGTCAATCATTTTAAGCCATAAATTTCACTCTCGCCAGCAAGCAAGCGAGAAATAATGATTGAGAATACTTTGATCTCCACGAAATATAACTAGGCTTTTGTCAGTTCTGATTCATAAGCTTGTTCAGAAATTCCACGATTTCCTTTTTTCACTGTATTTGACAGAAACAACGTTAATACAAAACTTAGCTGTGCAAACGAAATGACCTATATTCCACAAAGAGCGATTTCCCTGTTGCACGTTTTGTTGAATGAAGTTTATCCTTTTTTAACTCGTTCAAGCCAGTTTTTCGTGTCCACCTGCAGCAATAAGCAGTCATAATTTACAAGATAAGTCAACCTCACGACTCATGAAAGAAACAGAAAGCCATTACATTTCCTCAAAGAAATTCAAGCGAACAAGAAAAGTTTTCACGAAAGGGAAGAAACAGAGGAGCTCTAGCAAGAGTGGGGACCAAAGTACGAATAATTAAAGCGCTCATCTACTGAAAAGAGAGGAGGAATCTAGAGTGAAATATACGACAAGCATAAAAAGCGGTTTGTTGCAAGCGTTAGAACGTCAGCTATAGACAGAATACAAAATCTGGAATATGATTTAAGCCGGATACTTGAAGCAACGGCCACGCGATGAGAAGAAATTATTTATTGAATTTACCACTCTAGGAGCCGAATTATGAAACACAAAGAAATATGATAACATTATTTGGCAGAATAATGCAGTGAAGACTGTCATTAGATCTTATGTATCGCCGGACAAATTTTCATATGGGGAAGGCACCAATACTTCCCTACTAGCTCTCATTAAAAGCCAACATGTGTGGCTTAAATCGCTGGACACAGGAGAAGCAGATTGTGTTACGGTTTTTGCGTTTGATTTCTCTAATATAAGGCCTTCGACTCAGTTAATAACTGCATTTTAATTAACAAGTTAACGGAATTGCCCATCAATCCTTACATTGTTAATTGGATTATTAATTTCTTATTTCGTAGGCAACAAAGAGTAATTGTTAATGGTAACATGGCCCCTTTTTTGCCTATAGACAGGGGTGTACCCCAAGGCACTACACAATAGCCTATCCGATTTTCTGTAATGTTGAATGATATACAAGCTGTTGATTAAGACAGATCCACTTTGCAGATGACTTAACATTAAGTGTTTTGGTTAATTGAACCCGAGACCAAACTCCACAAGAAATGGAAAACATATTTAGTTGGGCCCAGAACAACCTTGGTGATGACTATAAACCTTACTAAAAACAAGGAGTTGGTTCTTAAGGGTAAAGTTGAAAGACCTCTCCCCACTGTTATACTTTTGATATTAAACAAGAAGTATTTTTTAAACTTTTAGGCATTTACTTTCGTGGTAATGTTACAAACTGGGACAAGCAAATCGATTCTCGTCTCAGAAAAGCGGGAAGGCATATACACATATTACGAGTGTGCAAGAAGTATGGCTATAGCTTACATTCTTTAATCTCTTCAATGGTCTGACACTTACGGCATTTCAATTAGAATATCTTTATTCTTCCAGTTCTTGGAAATTTTATATTGTTAACTGTTCTTGAGTCCTATATCGATTAGAACTTAGGTAATGCTTTTGTTATAGACACGTTACTTTCTTTGTTTTTATTCAGTGAAGTTTGAAAGAACCCAGCAGACCCTACAGTCTAAAGCTGTCTGTTATCTACAATAGAATGACTTTTATCGAAACTTCTGCAAGAGCGAGAATCCAGATTGGAATTTTGACATTGAAAGGTTAAAATCTTTGATTCAACTTGCTGTAGATAAGACTAAGTTGTTAAGATAAATGTGCTTTCTTTCTCCCGTAAACAGTATTAGAAAAAGGTTCGTCATTAGAACGGAAAAAAGTGCACTTGTTGTTTGTTGAAGTTCGCGCTTCAAAGACAACGCAAATAAAAAGCTTTTCCAATAGAAGCAGAAAAAGTAACATCCACGAGATCTACACGCAAACAAAAATAGAGACATAGTTCCTAGACACTCTATAACTCAGTTTCCTAGGCAAAACAGCTAAATCGGTAGGCAAGTCAGCTTTCTCGTCCGACTTCAATACCGTCATTAGAGACCTTTTAATAGATTCGAGGACGAGAACGACTACTAGTATATACCTGCCAACTCTCACACCTTAGGCGTGAGTCTCACGCCTGCGGGTTGAAAACTTCGATCTCACGCCGGCACACGCCTGCGGGCCAATTTCTCACGCCTGATTGAAAAATGTGAGTTGTTGCCGTCTTGCTTGACACAATTCCAAAACTATGTTAACTCAGACCCATGTCAGGAACGAAAACCATGTGTAAATGAATAAATAACAATACCTTCCTCGGGATCTCTGATATTGTGGATAAGCGTTTTCTCGATAACGTCGCCTTCGGCAGACTTCGGACGTCTTCGGACTTCTTCGGAAGACTTCGGACTTCTTCGGGAATCTTCGGAAATGATCGTGTCGTCTGCAAAAATCCCAGAACTCCCAGGATAAAAATCTCACGCTTATATCTCAGAAAAAGTTGGCAGGTATACTAGTACGAGATTTGACTTAAAGTTTTTTCGCGTCTTCTCAAAATATAGACTTCCCGGAAAGCTTCATTTTACCATTTTTCACTAGAAAAGTTAGCACTGTTATCTTTAGTGAAGGAAGTTACGCGCTCTCCCGATCGCAAAATGATAAAACTTCTAACATCTGAATGATCTTGTTTCCGCCACTTCACATCACGCTAAAACTCGCAGTAGAATGACGACAGCTACCACGTTTTCCCGCCAAAATGACGCTGGTTCACGAACGAGCGCTACTTAGTACTGAGAAAATCTCGTACTCGTAGTCGTACTCGTCTTAGAATCTAAAGGTCTCTAATAATTGGCTAACCCCCCTTGGCTAAGACGGCTAACGCTAAATGAAATACAGTAGTTCGAATCGAAAATGTGCTAAATGTTTAGATCAAAGAAGTGCTGCATAAAAGCATACTACTTACCAAACATTTACTCTGAGGACCGTTAAACGTAAAAATTAAACAATCGTGTAAGGCATAATCGAAGCTTTCATCTTAGTAGTCACTAGACAGTGCATACTGAGAAGCTGATGTATAGTCAAATTAATTTACATAGACAAAGCGTATGCAAATCATAGAGGGTGGGGTCTGTGTGGCCACCAAATTTTCATTAAGGGTTCAAATATATACATACGGAGGAAAAATACTTTGGGTGAATCACTGATTCTCAAGATTTAACTCACGTTTCCATAACTGAAAGGAAACATTTCAAGCATCATGTGCGTGGTTTATTTCTATGTACGTTCCTTTACATCCAAGTCTGGCAAAATCATTCTCTGTGAAATTATTCTAATTCTTTCATTTCCTTGAAAGTGGGAAAAATACTGGCGTGATTAACAATTTCTGTCATCGCTTCCGTTTCTTAGAAAATTGATTCTCTTCTTAGAAGATTCGATGAACTTCTACCGCATTTTGCTGTTTTTAGAGCGAGATCAAATTCGCATTCCGCACGACGATGTTTTTAACTTGCAATATGGAAACAAAACAATCTAAATACCAGAGGCACACGCACAACTCATTCACAACAACTCATGCAGAACTTAGAATCACAGAGATTAAACACACATTAAGTTGTTATTTCGTTCGCCATCAGATGTCAGATGAAGATGAATACACACCAGAAGTATTTAATCGAAGGTCGGAGTAGTTTATGAATCTTATGTTTCAACTAGTGTACGCCCCTGTCAACCTTCCGCTTCGTATCGAAGAATTTTTATTAAAACATAACGAAGCGACGAGAAGAGAAAAAAAAAAGACCCATGCATTCACTCTTTCTTAGAGGAAAACACCCCCATCCTCTCCCAATCCCTCACAGACATTCTTAGACTTATTCTTCAAGAGAATTCATTTGAATACAACGACAAGAACTGCAGAACAAAGATGGCAGTCACCTTTGCCAACACTTTTACGACTTCGGTTTAGACAGAAATACTGAGCCTTAGCAAAACTTAAGGTAATTCCCTTGAAAAAAGTGTACTATACAGATTTCCTTTACGCTTGGCACAACTGACAGGATATTAAAAAATTGCAATTAAAAGATGAGGTGATCGAGCTTGTTTTCGCCCTGCGTGCATTTGAAGTTGACTTGATACTAACCCTTTTTGAGAACGGGTCCTGTTTCACTTGACTGATCTTGACTAGTCGTACTTAGTTGCCACAGAAACTTCAAAACCTCAAAGTGCCGAAGTGCGCTCTCAAGAAAGGTCAAAACCTTCCTTGAGACTGCACTTATCCAACGAAAGCGTCAGAAATTTATTACTAAAGTGTCAATCATTTCAAGCCATAAATTTCACTCTCGAAAGCAAGCAAGCGAGAAATAATGATTGAAAATACTGTGACCTCCATGAAATGTAGGTAGGCTTTTGTCAGTTTTATTTCATGAGCTGGTTCAGAAATTTCACGATTCCCTCAGTTTTTTCATTGTATTTGACAGAAACAACGTTAATACAAAACTTAGCTGGGGAAACGAAATGACCAATGCTCCACAAAGAGCGATTTCCCTGTTGTGCGTTTTCTTGAATGTAGTTTATTCTTTTTTCAACTCGTTCAAGCTAGTTTTTCGTGTCCGCTTGCAGCAATAAGCAGTCATAATTTACAAGATGAGTCAACCTCACGACTCATGAAAGAAACAGAAAGCCACTACATTTCCTCAAACAAATTCAAGCGAACAAGAAAAGTTTCTACGAAACGGAAGAAACAGATAAGTTCTAGCAAGAGTGGGGACCAAAGTACGAATAATTAAAGAGCTCATCGACTGAAAAGAGACGAGGAATCTGGAATGAAATTTAGGAGAAGCATAAAAAGCGGTTTGTTGCAAGCCTTAGAACGTCACCAATAGAAAGAATACAACATCTCGAATACGATTTTAAATACTTGAAGCAACGGCCACGCAATGCGAAGAAATTATAATTATGTATTGAATTTTCCACTCTGGAAGCCGAATTATGAAAGACAAAGAAATATGTTAACTTTATTTTGCAGAATAAAGCAAAGAAGACTGTCATTAGATCTTATGTATCGTCGGACAAATTTGCATATAGGGACTAGCTCTCAT